CTCCTCCATTCTTTATATATTAGGTATCATATTCTATATTCTTTGTTTATCCCTTGATTGACTTTGGGGATAGTTATTTTAATTTTGCATTTGCTTAGTAATTCGCTGTTCTGCTTTCTTTACCGTGGTTTTATTTCCTCTGGTGACAGCTATTAAACCTTAGGAGCACTTCTGTCTATAGCAGTCCCTCCTAAATAGACTGTAGAGATGGTTTGTGGGAGGTAAATTCTCTCAGCTTTTCCTTATCTGGAAATTATTTAATCCCTCCTTCAAAGTTGAATGATAATCTTGCAGGATAAAGTAATCTTGGTTCCAGGCCCTTCTGCTTCATGGCATTAAATACATCATGCCACTCCCTTCTGGCCTGTAAGGTTTCTGCTAAGAAGTCTGATGTTAGCCTGATGGGCTTTCCTTTGTATGTGATCTTATTTCTCTCTGTGGCTGCTTTTAATGGTCTGTCCTTATCTTTGATCTTTGCCAATTTTATTATTATATGTCTTTGTGTTGTCTTCCTTGGGTCCCTTGTGTTGGGAGATCTGTGCACCTCCATGGCCTGAGAGACTATGTCCTTCCCCAGATTGGGGAAGTTTTCAGCAACTACCTCCTCAAAGGCACTTTCTACCCCTTTCTCTCTCTCTTCTTCTTCTGGTATCCCTATAATGTGAATATTGTTCCATTTGGATTGGTCACACTGTTCTCTCAATATTCTTTCTTTCTTAGAGATCCTTTTTTCTCTCTGTGCCTCAGCTTCTTTGTATTCCTCTTCTCCAGTTTCTATTTCATTTATCGTCTCCTCCACCGTATCCATCCTGCTTTTAATACCCTCCATTTTGCTCTTCAACAATTGGATCTCCGACCTGAATTCATTCCTGAGTTCTTGGATGTCTTTCCCTACCTCCATTAGCATGTTGATGATTTTTATTTTGAACTCCCTTTCAAGAAGAGTCACAAGGTCCATGTCACTTAAATCTTTCTCAGGAGTTGTATTAATAATTTTACTCTGGACCAGGTTTCTTTGGCGTTTCATATTTGTATATGGCACCCTCTCATGTCCAGGAGCTCTAATCTGGAGCTGCTCAGCCCCTGAAGCAATGTCGGGGGTCGCAGAGGAGCAGTATTGGTGCCTGGGGACAGGAAAGAGCTGTTTCCTGATTCCCGGCTGCTGTGCCTGTCTCCACTGCCTGAACCAGTGGGCTGAGCACACAGGTATAAACTTTTGTCCCAGAGCAGCCGGATATGGATCCCTGCTTTCCACAAGCAGCTGGAATCTCAGTCTCTCCAGGAATTCTGCCTGTATTAGCTTTCCAACCCCATAATCACATGAGTATCATGAAAGCACCATGAAATATATGTTTGTGCTCCCAGAGCAGATCTCTGTAGCTAGGTATTCAGAAGTCCCAGGCCTTCCACTCCCTCTCTGCTCCATTTCTCTTACTCCCATCGGTGAGCTGGGGTTGGGGAGGGGCTTGGGTCCCACCGGACCACGGCTCTGGTACGTTACTCTGTTCTGTGAGGTCTGCTCTTTTCTCCAGGTGTGTGCAGTCTGGCGCAGTCCTCTTTCCTGTTGCTCTCTCAGGATGAGTTGCACCAACTATATTTTCTATTTGTATATGGTTTTAGGAGGAAGCCTCTGTCTCTCCTCTCACTCCACCACCTTTCGATGGATGATCTTTTTGATGTATTTTTGAATTGACTTTGCTATTATTTTGTTGAGTAGTTCTGCATCTATGTTCATGAGGGATATTGGTCTGTAGTTTTCTTTTATTATGGTATCTTTGCCTGGTTTTGGTATTAAGAGTGATGCTGACCTCATAAAATGAGTTTGGAAGTATTCCATCCTGTTCTACTTTTTGGAAAACTTTAAGAAGGATGGGTATTAGGTCTTCAGTAAATGTCTGAAAATTCAGTGGTGATGCCATCTGTCACAGGGTTTTGTTCTTAGGTAGTTTTTTTATTACCAGTTAAATTTCGTTGCTGGTAATTGGTCTGTTCAGATGTTTTGCTTCTTTCTGGGTCAACCTTGGAAGGTTGTATTTTTCTGGAAAGTTGTCCATTTCTTCTTGGTTATCCAGTTTGTTAGCATATAATTTTTATAGTATTCTCTCATAATTCTTTGTATTTCTATGGTGTCTGTAGTGATTTTTCCTTTCTCATTTCTGATTCTGTTCACGTATGTAGAGTCTCTTTTTTTCTTGATAAGTTGGGCTTGGGGTTTATCTATTCTGTTTATTTTCTTGAAGAACCAGCTCCTGTTTTCATTGACTCTTTCTATTATTTTATTCTTCTCACTTTTATTTATTTCTGGTCTCATCTTTATTATGTCCCTCCTTCTACTGACTTTGGGCCTCAGTTTTTCTTTCTCTAGTTTTGTTCATTGTGAGCTTAGAGTGTTCATATGGGATTGTTCTTCTTTCCTGAGGTAGGCCTGTATAGCAATATGCTTGCCTCCTAGTACAGCCTTTGCTGCTTCCCACAGATTTTGCGGTGTTAAATTATTGTCATTTGTCTCCAAATATTGCTTGATCTCTGTTTTTATTTGGTCGTTGATCCATTGATTATTTAGGAGCATGTTGTTAAGCCTCCAGGTGTTTGTGGGCTTTTTTTTTTCTTTGTGTAATTTCTAGTTTCATGCTTTTGTGGTCTGAGAAGCAGGTTGGTACAATTTCAATCTTTCAATTTGCTGAGGCTCTTTTTGTGGCCTAGTATATGATCTATTCATGAAAATGTTCCATGTGCACATGAGAAGAATATATATCCTCCTGCTTTTGGTTGGAGTGTTCTGTAGATGTCTGCTAGGTCCAACTGTTCTAATGTGTTGTTCAGGTCTTTGTCTCCTTACTTTCTGTCTGGTTGATCTGTGAGTGGTGTGTTGAAGTTTGCTAAAATGAATGCACTGCTTTCTCTTTCCCCATTTAATTCTGTTTTTATTTCTTTCATATATGTGCTCCCGTGTTGGGTGCATAGATATTTATAATGCTTATGTCCTTTTTTTGGACTGACCCCTTTATCATTATGTAATGTCCTTCTTTATCTCTTGTTACTTTCTTTGTTTTGAAGTCTATTTTGTCTGATACAAGTACTGCAACGCCTGTTTTTTTCTCCCTATTAGTTGCATGTAATATCTTTTTCCATCCCTTCACTTTTAGTCTGTGTATGTCTTTGGGTTTGAGGTGAGTGTCTTGTAGGCAGCATAAGGATGGGTCGTGTTTTTTTTATCCATTCAGTGACTCTATGTCTTTTGATTGGTGCATTCAGACCATTTACATTTACAGTGATTATCGATAGGTATGTGCTTATTTGCCATTGCAGGCTTTAGATTTGTGTTTACCAAAGGTTCAAGGGTAGTTCTTTTACTATCTAACAGTGTAATTTAAGTCACTTAGTGTGTTATTAAAAACACAATCTAAAGTTTCTTTTTTTTTTTTCCCTCCTTTTTATTCTTCCTCCATTCTATATATATATTAGGTATCATATTCTGTACTCTTTGTCTATCTCTTGACTGATTTGGGGGTAGCTTTTTTGATTTTGCATGTGCTTAGTAATTAATTGTTCTATTTTCTTTACTGTGGTTTTATTTCCTCTGGTGACAGCTGTTTAGCCTTAGGAACACTTCCATCTATAGCATTCTCTCCAAAATCCACTTTAGAAATGGTTGTGGGAGGTAAATTCTCTTAGCTTTTGCTTATCTGAAAATTGTTTAATCCCTTCTTCAAATTTAAATGATAATCTTGCCAGGTAGAGTATTTTTGGTTTGAGGCCCTTCTGTGTCTTGGCATTAAATATATCATGCCACTCCCTTCTGACCGGTAAAGTTTCTGTTGAGAAGTCTGATGATGTCCTGATGGGTTTTCCGTTGTATGTGATCTTTTTTCTTTTTCTGGCTGCTTTTAAAAGACTGTTCTTACCCTTGATCTTTGCCATTTTAATTATTATATGTCTTGGTGCTACCTTTCTTGGGTCCCTTGTGTATGATATCTGTGCACCTCCTTGGCCTGAGAGAGTTCCTCCTTTCCTAGATTGGGGAAGTTTTCAGCAATTACTTCCTCAAAGACACTTTCTATACCTTTTTCTCTCCCTTCTTTTTCTGGTATCCCTATAATGTGAATATTGTTCCATTTGGATTGGTCACACAGGTCTCAATATTCTTTCATTCCTAGAGATCCTTTTTTTCTCTCTGTGCCTCATCTTCTTTATATTCCTCTTCTCTAATTTCTATTCCAGTGACCGTCTCCTCTATTACATCTAATCTGCTTTTAAATCCCTCCATTGTATGTTTCATTTCAGATACTGAATTTCTTACTGATTAAATCTCCATCCTGAATTTGTTCCTGAGTTGTTGAATATTTTTCTGTACCTCCAGAAGCATGTTAATGATATTTATTTTGAAATGTCTTTCAGGAAGATTGATGAGTTCAGTCTCACTTGTCCTTCTTTCTGGTGTTTGTTGGATTTTGGTTTGACCCAGCTTCCTTTGACATTTCATATTTATTTGTGGCATCCTCTAGTGCCCAGAAGCTCTTTTCTCTGCAGCCGCTCAGGCCCTGGAGCAATGTTGGGTGTCACCGGGGAGCAGCTCTGGTGCCTGGGGTTGAAAAGAGCTGTTTCCTGCTTCCCAGGTGCTGTGCCTATCTCCACTGTCAGAACCAGTGGGCCAAGCACACAGGTGAAAGACTGTGCTTTGTGTTTGTATCTGCAATAGGCGGGGCCTTCCTTTGGCTGGCCTGATGCCAGGACAGGGGCTGCTGGTTTGGGAGCCGGTGCTTGCCGGCCGGTAGGAAGGTGCAGCAGGCTGCATATCACAGTGGAGGTCCTTGGAGCTGGGTAGCCAGCCAGAGGGATGGAGCACCTGAAGCTCCTGAAAGTTCCCAACCTGCTGGGCATAGGTGTGCCCAGACAATTTTGTCCACCTTTCCTTTCTCCTGAGCAGCAAGTTCTGTTCAATCCTTGCCCCTTTAGCAGCCCTCTCACTGTTAGGAAGTCTCTCAGACTGCCCGCCTTTCTTTTGTCCCAGAGCAGCCAGGTGTGGATCCCTGTTTTCTACAAGCGACTAGAATCTCAGTTTCTCCAAGTATTCTTCCTGTCTTAGCTTTTCAACCCCATGAATCTCTAGAGCACCACGCAAAATAGTTCTTGCTCCCAGAGCAGATATCCAGGGCTAGGTGTTCAGCAGTCCTAGGCTTCCACTCCCTCTGTGCTCTGTCTCTCTTCCTTCTGCTGGTGAGCTGGGGTGGGAGAAGTGCTTGGGTCCTACCCAATCACGGCTTTGGTATTTTACTGTTTTGTGAGGTCTGCTCTTTTAGGATTTGTTGTATTAACTGTTTATATGTAGTTTTGGGACAAGGTCTCTTTCTCACCTCTCATGCCACCATCTTTAGTCTTGCTTCTCTAATACTATTTTATTACTATCACTTTCTCCTATATGTCTTAATATTTGCTTTATATATTTAGGTGTTCCTCTCTTGGGTGTCCAAACTACTTTTTATAACTAGCTTTATAATATGTTTTAATATGCCACCCCACCCCAGATTTATACTGACTCTTCTCACAAGTCTGTTTTGTGCATGCCCCCCGCAAAAAAAGTTATATGGAAGTTATATTGAATTTTGAGATTTATCTAGGTATAATTGTCAGCTTATAATGTTTAAATACAGAAGTTACATAATTTCTGCCAAGAAATGTCTTTATTACTAGTTTTAGAGCCATTCTTACCTCCATCTGACATAGTTACCTGTTGATGGAGAAAAATGCTTGTGTACCACAAACTGTCAGATTGTGTTGCCTGGCAGTGGAACATTTTGACAGGAATTTGCTATAGATATAATAAACATGTAAGGAATGTTTATAAGTAATAAAATTTCAGTAAGAGCTCTTTTAAAAAACTATTTGAAACTACTCTTTTAAAAAATGTTCTCCCAGATAATCTGTGTAAGACCAAATAAATTTTGAAGTGTTCCATAGTGAGATTGTCTCATGAGCACATTTGCGGGGAGTTGATGATGACTGCATCTTTCTATGCTCCCACCGTTACTCGATATGTTTTATGAATAAACACACAACCAAGCAGGTGTGCTTTCTATGTCTTGTTAGAGACAGTGAGACATGGTCCTATGGCCTCAAGAAGATGATAGAGAAATGGGCAGCTCCAGCATAATATGGACAAGCTATCATAGGAGATATTTATAAGCTAAGTAGAGAAAGGAGTGTCTTCCTGGGGAGTTCAGAAAAGCCATGCAAAGGGGAAAGAGCATTATTTGAGCTGAGACTTCAAGGCATTTTCAGAAGGAATATGGCATAGTCCAGTCCATGCAGGTCAGAGCTAACCATAAATTGAGAGAAGAAAAAGGGAAACCGGCTAAGTAAAAGTAGATCACATGGGCCTTGCAGGCCATACTTAGGTTCTTATAAGTTGTACTATAGACAGGGGAGAGGCAGGAAGGACATGAAGCAGTAGGGGAAAGAAAGTATCAATCAATGATCATCTCTTTTTGTATGTTATGATATCTCTGGTCCAGGGAATATATTGTATCAGCAGAAAGTTTTGGTTTAGTGGGCTAGCTTAGATGCCCCAATTGGCTTGTGGGACTTAATAAATTCTGTGGAACCTACCTTCACAAGGAGAAACACCCATAGATATAGAACATAGCACTATTTTTATTTTCTGGGAAGCAAAAAGTATGAGGCTGTGAGGGAGCTTGAAGAGAGGGCAGGAGATAAAATTGAGGTCCATCCATACAGTGAAGCTGATTTCTTACATAAAGGACTGTGGTTTTACTCATATTTCCACTTTTAAAGTCTCTGAAACTTAGCTGGGCTGTATTTAAGTGGCCCACAGAACAACTGGATGAGCTTAGTAGCTGCACATTTCCACAAGAGCCACCTGCCAGGTCTTCTAAAGCCCAGATGAATCCCTGATACTGGACACGATGCTGATATATCCATTTTAATCAGGGACTTGAAGTCCTTCAAGATTTAAATAGCCTCTAACACTGCAGAAGGCCTTTAAGAAGTAGTTTGGTACGTGCATAATATAAGAGCCTAAGGAATTTTGTGGGTCAGAATGAAGAAATAGGGCTTAATTCCTGTTGGCCTGGTTGTGTTACCCCTTATTTAAGTGCTTATAGTACTTGTATGATAGAAATGCCACACAGCAGACTCCAAGAAGCAGAAGAGTAAAGAGTATGTACAAAGCTGTCTGGGCTTCTGTTGTACCTAGTGTCAGCCCCAGGAACGGAACCTCTTCCCCTTTCATGGGGCTGATGGTGGGTCCAACATCTAGGAGAGAACAAGAAAGAATGATTTATGCACTAGTGCAGATGTAATTATTGGATCTATGTTAACCTTTATTAAGCCCAAGCTAGACTTAACCAACCACCAGAGTGAGTGCATTGCTGAGGTGACGTCATGCAGTCCTTTCAGTGAGTTTTGGACCTCTGAATGAGGTTAAGTAGTTATATTTTTTAAACATCTCTATCGGCAATAGAGTATAATCTAAATGGATAATTGTCTTTTACATTTGTATAGTAATACATACTTTTTTAGTTATTCAACTAATATTGGGCACTTCACATTGTCCTGGGCATTGTATTTTCACAGTCACTTTATTTGATCTTCTCATCAGCCCAGGAGCATTGGCCAAGTTTCTTGCCTGACACACACAGTAAGGTAGTGGTAGGGCTTGGACAAGAATCTAGACCTGCTGCTCCCAGTCCAGGGCCTATCATTTAGATGGAATATTAACCCTAATTCCTTTGTTCCCCTAAGATTGTATGGAGGAACGAAAATAAATATTGGTTGAATGAATTAAGAGGATGGAGAGGCAGAGAGAAAGGTGATAGACTGAAAAAGGCCCCTCTCACCCTCACCTTCTGGCTGTAGCTCTACCCAGAGCCACATCTTACCTTCTGGCTGGAGACAAGGGTGTGGCCCTGCAGCAGGGTCAGGGAAGCCATTGCACCGGGCTACAGAGGCATAGAACTTGACTGAGGCTTTGGGGATCCTTGGCAGAGAAGGGTCAGTGTAGTTCACAAAATGCAGACCAAACCTCTCTGTGAAGCCTGTGGCCCACTCAATGTTGTCCATCACACTCCAAACTGTGTATCCTCGAAGGTCCACCTTATCCTGCACAGCTGCCCAAATACAGAGGCCCTGGCATGAGCTTCTGTATACCTTTACACCAGGCCTATTGAGGCCATGCCTGCCCACAGCTCAGCCCCAGTCTCCACTTTCCCCATTTGCAGGTCAAAGGGAGGTTTTGTGGTTTTTTTTTTTAGCTCTTTTAAGAGCACTGCCCATCTTTGGCATGTAGTAATTGTTAGCTCGTCCTCAGTGGATGGAGCTATAGAGCCATCAGAATGTTTCTAGAAAGACTCAACCCTGAATAGGAGTCAGTAACACTGGTGGACTAAATTAACCCTACTAGGCCATCTATAATCCTGTCTTCACATCCTGGGGTATTGGTCTTGCTGAGTGCCTTATAGTGTTCATGCTCCTCCCTATAGAAAATAAGTGGCCCTTAGAAAAGATTTTAGCTGGAATAGGGTTCTCTAACCATTTCTTTGTTCTCTCATTCTCTGTTACTCAGCATTACTCACCGTTCCTTTGTCCTAGTCCCATCCCAAGTCATCCTACTGAGTTGAGGGTCTCAAACTTTTCGTTGGGGAACAAAAGAGCCTAGACACACACCCCAGCCCACTCCTCCTGGGACTGTCCAAGCTGTCCTCAGGAAGGCACTGCTGTTCAGGGACATTAGACATCAGGGAGGATCAAGCAGAACAAATGGCTCAGGCCAGGAACTCAGGTCTAGTTATACCAGCAAATGGGTTTGCTTGCTGAGCTTAAGTCTAGGAAGGAAAAGGCTCAGAGTTTGGTCCCAAGAAAAGGCTTAAACCCAGTAGGAGCAAGAAACCTCATCTTTCTCATACTGGGGCTTGTGGGTACAGCACCAGCCTACCTGCAGGTGTTCCCAGCATCAGAGGGTGCACGTGGGGTGGGGGCAGGCCTCGCATACCTTTGAGTGCTTCATTGATGTAACTGCGGAGGTAGTAGATTCTTGTGGTGTCGTTGAGGTCTGTCTCTCCCCGTTGGGACACTCCATTTTCTGTTACGTAAATTGGAGGATTGTTGTACTCATCTTTTAACCAGTTCAGGATCTTCCTGAATCCAAAAGGTGTCATCTTCAGCCAGAAGGAGCCAGAGTCTGGCCAAGAGCGATCTGTGATGGAGGCAACTCCCCTGTGAGTTAAAACACTAAAGATTAGGTCTGCATTTGTAAATCCCAAGAGGCCCTTTGCACAAAACAGGATTTATACTAGGAAAAGCCTTAGGTTTTATCCAGACTTGAGAGTCATGGCTAAACCCAGAAGAGTCAGACTTCTGATTCTCCTCTTACTAGTTCCAGATGCACCACTCAACACTGGGGTAACTTTGGACAGGCCATTTAAGCTTTCTGTGCTTAGCTTTCCACCTGTACAGAAGGATGGTCTTATTCATGGATCTAACCTTCCACGGCTCTATTAATAGACCACACCTCCCACCAGTGTGAAGGGGCTCTGGGTTTCTGTAGTCACAGTCTCCAACAGGATGTGAGTGCTATGTCTTCAGAGAAGTGGCTCTGCTGAGTCACCTACATCCAGTCAACGCCATGTGCAGGCCACAGGTGTGGCCAAGGCATCCATAGTCGGGGTCCCCATTTGTGTGATGACCGGAAACAGGCTGGGACCTGCTTCAAGTGCCCAAGTGCTCCAGATGGACAAGGAGAGGGCAACGGGCAGTAAAAGGCCATGCCTGCTAGGGGAGACCCAGGAGCTCAATGCCTTAATCGTTTATTTCAGATAAGGATTGGTTATTTAGATACTTGTGAATGTCCAAATTCTTCAGAAAAAACTTTATCTTGTTCAGTTGAACTGAACATGGGGTATTTTGTAAGCCTGAGCACCATCAGTGGGGAACCAGGACCAATAAGGCAGCAAGAATGGGGACCAGCAGGGCGGCTTTCTCAGCCCCTTTGGCAAGTCTAACTCTGGTGGTTGCTGGGTACAGTGAGGGTGTAGGTGCTTGTCCTCAAAGAATGAACCTAGACCGAGTCACACTGCTTGCTTGTTAGGAAAGAACAAAACAATGTGTATACCTGTTATCTCCATTTTTTGTAAATAAACTGTGTGTGTGTGTGTGTGTATACATATATATATATGTATGTGTGTGTGTGTGTGTGTATATATGTCCTATATGTATATAGTTGTATATGTATATATATGTATGTATGTATAGTATACATATATGTATATGTATAGTATATATATGTATATAGTCATATATATATATATATATAGGTCCTATATGTATATATATAGGTCCTGTGTGTGTGTGTGTGTGTGTGTGTGTGTGTGTGTGTGTGTGTGTGTATAGGTCCTATATGTATATAGTTTACATATATAAATGGAGGCACTATAGCCCCTGGGAGGCACTATAGCCCCCTACACACATGTACACTTCTGGAGTGACACACACATCTTGCTTTCTAATGTTTCCACTCTGAATATATATATTGTGTGTAATATAGAAATAATAGTTTGATCTTTACCCCTAAAAAGAAAAAAAACCCTTTTGTCATTTTTCAACCAAAATACATCTCATAAATGAAAACAAATCTGACAAAAAGAAAACCAATGGAGGAAAAATACTTTTGAAAACGTTTTCTTAAAATTCCAAGCATGTCTAATGAGAAACATCTTGGAAGTCCTAGCCTGCATTACTATCAAACTAATCAAGTTTTAATCAGATGTCTCAAGAGATGGAGCTCATCTCGCAAGCCCCAGGATACATGGCATCAGGAGGTTTTCTGAAGCTGTACAGGGCATTAAGTAAATGCTGGTCAAAGGGGCACCTTGCTGTCTTTCCAGAGATTGTTCTGGTGCCCTGTTGACTGACTTACCTGTCTGCATCGAAGGAAGAGATCCATGAGGCATAGTCAAGGTTGTAGGCCAGGACAGTGGTGTAGTGATTGAACCCAAAAAAGTCATAGGTGCCATTGATCCTCCTCTTCTCGTTCTCAGTGAACTCTGGGAGCCTGGATAGGAGCAGCCGGTAAGGGTGTGGGGATTTAGGAAGACTCATGCTTTGGGAAGAGAATGTTCTGGGGCAGGGTCGGAGGAGGGCTCCCTGTGATGAGGGACAGCTGGCCAGGAGCAAGAAGAGGCCCTTCCAGCTGCTGCTGAAAGCCCCCGAGGCTGCTCCTACCAGACCATAAGCCTCTCTTCCCCTCTGCTGTTACAAGACTCTCTGTTGACAAAATTAAGCTCCAAGTGATCCTTCTCTAAACCCTCCCCTTCGGAACTACACACACATGATATACATTTTTTAATCTCCTTTAAAAATTAACATATGCAACTTCTGACATTTCTGTGGTAGATTTTGAAATCAAGAACAGGTGTGAGGTACATACCTTGAGACATTCTTATGTTCATAAGGTTATAGTATCTTTAATAATTTGTATTTCTGTAATCTCGGAATTACTTGATTTTTGTTGTGTATGTAGGTGTGCCTCTTCAGTCTCCTTATTAGTAGGGAAAATATTTTTACAAATTGAATTTATTGAACTTTTGGGATTTGGACTTTTCTGCTTACACAATTTTACTGCATTTTAAAAAAAAAGACATTTGGTAGAGCATTTTCCATGTACTCTGAGACTTTTCTATACAATTTGATTAACATGCACCTGCGTACAACACTCACAGGTTCCTGTCAGTCAAATCCAACTACAAAAAAAACTGACAGGTAAATCCCTGGTGCTGCTAGTTTAGGGTTGTCTGTAGAGATTGCCCTGCTTAGGTGTCTGACACCTTTACTGAAAATTCTGCTACCATTAACCTGGGGATCAAAACCTTCACTCCCTGAAACACTGGGAGAAAACTAAAGCCCAGCCTCCTCATGCCCTTCTCTCCCCTGCTCAGGGGCCAGCAGTGGCGTCTCAGCTCGCCTGGCATCAAGGCCTTGGGCGTGTGCCTTGCCTCCAGGACTTCCACCATGTGGCCTCATCCTCCCCTCTCTCCACTGTTGGTCCCCTGGTTCTAAGCTGCAGGGTCCCCACTCATTCCTACCTCCAGGCTGGTGTTCGTGCCCTTCCCCTTGGATGGAATGCCCTCTGTTCTCCCAAGCACTGTTCATTGTCAAGGCCCAGCCTTGTCCATGAAGTCTCCTGCATCTACCCAGCCCACCCTGATCTCATCTGAGTTTTCTTTGCATGAAGAAGTTGGGGAATAGAATTCCTTGGAATGATGAGGGTTACTGTCTTCCGAGCTGGTATGTCGGCAACTTGGAAGTCTCTCCTTACATGGACCCCACTAGGCCTGGCCCTGACCTGGGCACACAGTAGGTGCTTGGTGAAGATATGTCAGTGGACCAGAGTGCCACCTTCCTTGTTGGAGAACAGAGTTGGCAGATTAGCTTTCTGGGCACAGCCTGGTCAGCAAGACTCACCCTAACTGGGCCAGGACTGTGTTGCCAGGGTGGGAACTGGATTATTTAATCCTAACAGCTGTGCTATCTAATGAAAGACTCCCAGCCTATGTTAGGAATTCATACCTTTTGCATACCTTTATCCTCCCCTGCTTATGGTCACAGGAGCTACCCTCGAGCTTGTGGGTTAAGTTCCCAGGAAGCCGGGTTACTCTGCCCTCTTCCACACAGCACACCTCTAATCCTAGCCAGATGACTCTCAAACTGATAGAGTGTGGTCCCTGGAGTCAGCCAGCCTGATTTCAAATCCCGGCCCTATCATTTTGATAGGGTGATCTCACTGTAATCCTTGTACCTCACTTTACTCCTCTTTAAATAGGAGTAATAAAAGTAGCAGTAAGAGCTGGATAATGTCAGCCATTGTTGATGCTATTTTGTCCAGGAAGTAGGACTGCTTTGGTGCAAACCATCACCACTTGCTGACCAAATGACATGCCTGGCCATCACCCGTCACCCATTGCTATCCACATTGACTTAAAGGTGATAAATAGGATAGGATGAACTGAGGAATTTGTACTTGGAGTGAAGCAGTGGTTGCTAAGAAGTGAATACCCTTGAGACAGATTTCCTGGCTGTTCTGACAAATAACAGCAACTGTCTTTTGTTAAGGACATAGCAGTGCCTGGTCCTAGGCTAAAAGCTTCACATACGCCATCATATTTAATCTTTCTGGCAAGCAAGGAAGCTCAGAGACATAGTAATGTGCCTAAGACATGCCTCTCTGATGCCTACAGCCATGCTGTCACCACTGTGCTGTCAGTTCCACACCACAGACCAGACCTCCTCATGACCTCTACTGGCTGAGTGTGGGCACCAGGACCTACCGAGACTTGGTGAGGCCTGCGGCCAAGCTCCTTTCACGGATCCGTGTCTTCATCACCTCATTGTAATCTCCATTCTTGAAAATAGGATGTGCAAACCAGCCTCCCATAAACTGCGGGTGGAGTTGGGGGACAGTCAGCCTGGACATTAACAGGTGGATGCACCAAGAGGCAGCAGCTTCCCTGTTCAGGAGTCCCTGACCTCAGAACCCCTTCCCCGTCCCAGCCCCCAGTCTTAAACACACATCTCTGTAACTTTTTACATGTTGCAGCTTAAATAAACACAGGGTTTTTTTTTTTTACCTCATTGCCATCTCCCTGAGGGCAGTGCTGTGTTAACCACTGCAACTTGAGAGGAGAGCTAAAGTGAGCACTGGCCCAGAGCTTAGTAAATGCCTGGCTGCCCTGGAAAGGGTGTTACCGAAGAGTAGGGGAGACTATAAACCTGCAGTCTGCGGATTCTCTCTCACTGTAGAGCACATCCTTCCCCATCATCAGGCCTAAGGATCATGAGAACTTCCTGAGGAAAGCTGAGTTCAAGGATTTCCTGGCTGCATAGGTACAGGATGATTCTTCATAGGCTCTGGATTCACAGCCATGAAGTGGTGAACTTTTCAACCTATTCTGTCCATGAGGTGTAAGCCGTCTTTACTCTTAAGGAGGCTATATGGCCCCCAAACACTCTGATGCTGGGGTACTGAGAGGCTGCTGCTGTCTCTCTACATCCTGTCCTCATGTGCTGGCTGATGCCTAAAACGTAGGGTGAGGACAGCCTTCCCTTCTCAAAGACGAGGCTTGAAACACGCTATGGTGAAAGAGGCCTCAGTGCGCTCTAGGCAACAAATCATTCCTTTCCATGGAAGCTGATTTTACTAGGAGATGTATGTATCATAATCCTTGGGCTGCACTATCATAGCTGACTAACAAATGGCTCAATCTAATCAGACTACAGCCTAACATTTCCTCAGGTTTGGGATTTTGGTTTCAGAAAACATTGTCGCTCTAATTCACCAGTTCTGTGACTCTGAAATAAGGGCTGCATTAATTTTGTTGTACGAGATTTTCCCCAGCTGACTAGCAAATGGGAAAATTAAGCTCTTATTTTTACTTAATTTGACTGCCTTTGTCAAGTTTTCTTAGAAAAAGTTTGGCAAACCAAGGCCCTTGGCATTCCCACAGAATGTTGGGATTGCCACAACAGGCATCGCCACAGAGCCAAAAGTGGGGACCAATCTGGAGAGAGAGACCTCAGCCTTTCCTGATGCTGAAACATGGGAGAGGGTGCCTTCTAACTCCTTCAGAGACACCAGCAGGAGCCAGGAAAAGGCTGTGACATGATAAGGGCCAGTCTTCTCTCATCAAGGGCCCAGACTGAAATAAGGGTGGGCCATTTGTTGGCATCTACTTACCAGTGACTCTACTTCCTAGAAGCAAATTCCATAACTAAAAGACATATGTCTTTATGTTAAACTCATGGAATTGAAAAATTAGGGATACTAATGATATTCACAGAATCCAAAGTCCCCAGTTTAAGGAACTTAGGTAGAATAAATAAAATTAGATGGTGACACCTAGAGGTGAAGTGTGACATTGCATCCCAGCTCTATTAGCTACCATAGTCAAACCAGAGATTAAAGAGCTGGAATTTGTTATTTCACCTCAAGCCACTGTGGCATCCAGTAAGGACAACATGTATAAATAATTTTTAAGACTTGAAACCCTAAAGAACTTTCATCACAGCAAACCTGTAAGGTAGGTAAGTCCTCTCCATTTCATAGATGAGTAAACTAAGGTACAAAAATTGGGTAATTTTCCCAAGCTCACAAAATCAGGAAAATAGCAAAATAGGGCCTACATCCTAAATGCTTAAATGTGTGCTTAACAATCTGTTTCCACCAGATCATGGCAGGAAGTGAAAACAAGCAAAAGTAAAAATAATATCCAAAGGAAAAACAGACCTGCATGTATCTCCTGGCTGCCTCCACATCCTCCTGGTTGGAGGGGTCTCTGGGCTCAGCCCAGTCACTGTTGATGGTGATGGAAATCACGCCACCTTGACTGGCACGGTACATGTCATTGTACAGATGCCAGGCTTCAGCATGAGCCTTTATTAGGTTGTGGCCAACGATGTAGGGGGCAGTGCCAGGCCTAAAGGAGATTCCTGGAAACATTCACATGGGCATCAGTGAATAATGAATGTGGCCAAGAATACATTGCTTATAGATGGCCTCTATGTGTTTGACACAAAGAGTGCCGATTTGGGCATGAGGAAGAGTGGAATGCAAATCTTGGTTCCACTTCTTACTAGCCAGCAGTGGAGTCTGGGTGAGTAATCAGCCTGTTAACTTCCTCCTCTGCAAAATGAGTACTAGAAAGTTGTGAGAAGGAAATGAAATAGCGTACATGAAGCACCCACCAGTGTTGTGTCAGGCAAAGAGAGGCGCTTAATAAACGATTGCTCTGTCCCTTCCCCGGAGTGGTTCATATGTCTCAGGCAAAGTACGCAGAAGAGTGTGTGCCTCAGGAGTTGACATCCTGGCAGTCTCTGGGGACCCACAGTGAAAGTAAGGATTGGAGAATCCAGCTGACACACAGATTCCTTGAGAGCAAATGTTATGAGAGAGGCCACCAACTCGTGCTGAAGGAAGTTGCAGGAATGCTATACTGAAGCACCAGCCAAGAACCTATGGGGAGATCCGTCTGGGAATGATTCAAAGCAGAGATCCCCATGGCTCTTCCCAGGTTCTATACATGCGCCTAAGTAGTCACACAGGTGGACACAAATTTACTCTCGTAAGCTTAGAGCTAGAGAAAAAACTGGATGGTTCTCAAGGAACAAGGACAAGTCCATAGGCCCTTATTCAAAACCTTTAGAGTCAAATGTGTTTTGGAATTAAAAGGTTTTTGTGTCTTATAAAAGGAGTTAAGTTGCATATAACATATTTATATATCACCCCAGCAGGGCTCAGGACAGCTGTCTGTAGTTGAGAACATGAATCTGTCTGCAGGAGAACTTTAGAAATGTTCATAGTAAGAGGGGAAATGACCATAAGCAGCCTCATATTGGTTTAAGTCAGGTTGAGCTCAGTTCAGCTAAATCAGTTACTGGAAATTTGGGTTTTGGAGTTGCATAAAACACACTGGGACCTGTGCATTCTGTCAATTCATCCTTTCCTACTTAGGTTAGTCTGTGTCTCTGATCTCAGGGAGCTTCTGAGGCAGGTCAGAGCAAAGAAATGAAGCCATTTGGAGGTACTGAGATGTGAAATTCATGTTTTGCAAAAGTGTCTCTGCTGCCTGTCAGGCAGCCTTGAGCAAGAGGTGGGGATCCTGAGACTCTGCCCTGGGACTTTCTTGGCTGCCTTCTCTAGTGCTACCTGGATCTCCTACTTCGTGGTGCTAAGAATGCCACCCTCCAAAGCTGCCATGTCGGGTGTAGGACCTTTACCTGGGGCATGTGTGCCATAGCCATAGCCCTGGTTAGCAATGACAAAGGGCTCATTCAGTGTGATCCAAAACTTCACTTTGTCCCCCAGCCTCTGGAAGAGCACATCCGCATACTCTCTAAACCGCTGCACAATGGTCTCATTCTCCCAGCCGCCAATATCCTGGAGTGCCTGGGGCAGGTCCCAGTGGTAAATGGTCACCTGTGAAAATGCAAGATCAGCAGTTCCATCAATGTGCCTTTCATGGGATGCTTACAAATGTCTGCAGCTAAAGCTGAGAATGAATGATGAGACAAAAAGGTTTTGTGGGGTTGGGGTAGAGTGGAGTGGGGGTAGAGTGGGAACAGTGTTGCATCGTGAAAAATTCACACATCTGGATCAGAGAAGCTTGGGTTTGAGTCACAGCTTTGCTTCCTACCAGCTGTGTGACCCTGGGCTCAGGCACTGAGACCTCTACGTCATGGAATCTTTATGAGGCCTAAATCACATAGCAGAGTGCATGACCCGTGGCGAATACTCTGCACCTCAAGAGTAAGGGTTCGCTATGGTTGTAATCAGGGATTATAAATGCTAATGCTTCAGAACCTGCCTGGATAGGTTGCACGGAGAGTCTGAGACTCTGAGGGTCCCTGGAGAATGGAAGCATTTTGCTTGTAAAGGAACATCCCCAATAACATCTGAAGTGTCTGGAGGTTCTTCCTGTAGAGCTGGGAACCTTTTGCATGGCCCCTCTGGCCATGTCCACGTGGAGACCTGGCCTTTCTCCTGGCCTTTCCCTCAGTGCCCCTGACATACCCCAGCTTGGCCAGGCTGGGGTCCCCACTCTCCTCAGTCTGCACTGGGCCACTAACCATTTTCAACCCAGACCTTGTCTCTCCCTTTGCCCAAAATGCCCTTCTCCTGCCTATCCACCCATCCAAATTCTCCTCTTTGTTCAACACCACACTTCTCTGAAGCTCTCCTGGCCACAGTACTCTTCTCTTCTGCAGTGTCTCAGTGCCCTTAGAGGCTTCAAAATCATTTGTTCCTGAGTTGTGTGCCATCTATTAGTCCTACCGTTTGCCATCATAACACTGTGTGGCAGTTTGTTCAGCAGTGTAAGTGTGAGGAGAGTCCAGATAACACTTTTATTTGGAAAAAAGTTCTCCTTTTGTGAAAGAGGGGTTGTAATGTGGGGATTATGCTCTGGCTGTGATGCATAATCTCCAACCCCTACAGCAGAGGAAACAAACAGCGTCATAGAACTAGTGCTCTCCTGAGCTTTATCATGAACAGTCCAGGGGATGATCAAAAGTGTTTTTAGGCTCCCAAGTAAATTTCTAAAATGTTGGTGACAGCAAAGTAAACCCACAAGTGAGCTCCTGCATTATTATTCATTACTCAAGGCTTAAAATACATGCACTTTCACCCCAGCAATTCTACTCCTAGAACCATATCCTACAGAAAAACTTCCACCATGCAAAATTATGTATGTCTATGGTTACTTATGGTGGTATTGGTTATAATGGCAAAGAGTGGAAACATCACAGGGAAGATCTATTAACAGAAATAGAGAAGTAAGGTACAAACAATTCCATATAACAAGAACAAAAGAGGAAACTATGTATGAATATGTCAATTATCTGTAAGAAGTCCTGTTAAATAAAAGCAAGTACCAAACTGCATGTATCTTAACACTGTGGGAAGAGGGGGAAAGGCAGATATGTGCACACATACTACACATCTACTGGCTTACAAACGCAAAGAAGGGCATGAGAACCTAGCAAACTTGGTGGCCTGGAAGGAGGGGAACTGACGGCTGGGGGTCAAGGATAGAAGGATAATGTTCACTGTAGACCCTTTTATGCCTTTTGAATTCTGCATTGTGTGGATTTATTGACAATTAAAAAATCAAACAGCGTTTTGTTTACACAATAAATGTGTTCCTGGCCCAGCTGGGTCCCACATGTGAACCTGACCAAGGCCTGGACAGGCCCAAACTCACCTGTGGCTTGATGTTGACAGCCAGCAGTGTATCAATGAGCTGCATGTAGTAGTTCAGGCCTGCTTCATTGATGTACTTGGTGGTCCCATCAGGGAGGATGCGAGGCCAAGAGATGGAAAAGCGATAGTGGGACACACCCAGGTTCTGCAGGGCAACCACATCCTCAGCAATCTTGTGGTAACTGTCACAGGCCACATCTCCGGTGTCGTTGTTCTCAACCCTCAGTGGTGTGTGAGAAAACATGTCCCAGATACTGAGTCCTTTGCCATCTGCTCTCCATGCACCTTCGATCTCAAGATGATAAGACATGGGCTTATTAAGTTATGTGGTCAAGCCCTCACAAGTTCCCTTCTGTCAGCAGGGAGTCAGAGCATAAATCAGCATCACCTCCTCTGGGAGTCTTTCTCCAGCCACCCTCTTATTTCTGAGCTCCTATAGCTTTCTGTACATTGCTGTCATACTGTAGTATACAATCACAGGCTTTCTGATTGGTTCCTTAAAAGATCATGAGGTCTAAGCATTGAGTCCTTCATCCTGGTGTCCCAGAGTTAATGTAGCTGTATATGTAGGGTGCTCACCACAAGTCTGAACAATTCCATGTGCTCCAACCCCAGTCATGGCCAAATAAACCCCAGTGATGCCAGGTGTGGACGCAGAATTTCTAACCAGACATGTGTCACTGTTTCTGTGCCTCTTTTTCCTCCTCCCACTTAGCCTATGTGGAGATTGACCACAAACCACTGGGCAAATGCCTACCTATAGGCTTAGGCAGTCTTAACAGGTATAATTTCTGTAGTTAAAAACACTTAGCATAAATGTGACTGGGTGCAGCTAATGTAATGCTGGCATTCTAACCAAGAATGCAGACTTGGCCTGCACAGCTCTGGTGGAGTGGTGGGGCCCAAGGCCAGCAGGAATGCACCCTGTGCAGGCTATTTAGGTGTGGGAGATGAACTTGGTGGTTGGGAGATTAGTTAATGCAGGGGGATTGAGGAAATAAGTGACTATGTTAAGGATATTAGAAATTGGACTTCTCACCATTGGAGAAAGGAGATACAAGTATGGAAAATGGGAAAGCTAACATTAACCCCACAGAATTCGATTGGAATTGGAGTCACCAGTGTGAACTCATGGTTTTTAAAGTACATACAGATTGTGGGTGGATGTAGAAATATATGTAAGTGCACATGTATGTGTTTCTGTGTGTACACACATGTATTTCCTAGCTCTGTCCACTGAAAGGGCCTAGAAGTAATGACATTCCAGTAACAGCAAGCACACCTAGCACCCAGATCTTGGTTTCTAAATACCCTTATCCAATAAAAAATACCAGGGTTCATTAGAGAAATGGCTGATTATAAGGCTGGGGCAGAAAAGGAACAAGATGAGCCTGGAACATCTTTTTGTGCCAGAAAGAATTAGGGAAGTGCTCAAAGAATGGTGGGCCATGTCAAAAGAACACAGAATCTGGCTAAAAGGCACTTCCCCTGATGAAATGTGGGATGCTCTGATCATCTAGATACATAATAGCAAAAACATAATTAATTAAATAAAATGGGACTGCATGAGGCCACACAGATAATATATATCAATATATTTTATATACAAATAAAATATAAATAAAAGTAGAAGAAAAGACAAAGCTCAACTTTTCTGTTGAATGCCATCTAATAATTATAAAAGGAATGGTAAAATCAGAAAATCACCATTTGTCAACTGTCATAATAATAACTGATTCAGGCAAAAATTATCAACAGTTGCTAAAACTAGTAGGTGAAATTTGTTGAGTACAGGATATTTATATAATCTCCAAGGAGCTCCCCACAAAATACTTATTACTTATAACTATAAAATACTTATTAATGGTAGAGAAACCTTGTAGACACTTTCTTGTTCAAGTGATGAAATCAGTTGTACCCACATACACACACACAGAAAATAAGGCAAAAGGTAAAATGTTAACAGCTGAGGAAGATGGGAAAAGGGTATATAGGAGTCCTCTGTACTATTTTGTAACTTTTCTCTGAAGAGATTTCTAAATAAAAGATTTTAAAATAATGCACAGTCAGATAGCATCTAATCAGGACGCCCACGTAATAAGCACGTCTCATCTGTTCTCAGTTCATACTCCACAGTTTGCTAATTAGAATGTTCAGTGCCACCGATGGTGAGAATTGTGCCTGTTGTCTGCCATGGTGAATAGAAAAGCTGCTCACTGATGCCAGTTCAAGATGTGGGTCAGCTAAAATGTTTCCAAGACACTCCCTGCCCTTGCATGGACAGAGTTTAATAAACCAGGAAGGCCTGTAGCCTGTGCACTAGAATAAATTCCCAATCCTTCCTGTCCCACTCTAAACCTACAGAGGAATGGTTCTCATTCAGCAGCTATTTTGTTCCTAAGCAGACATTAGCGATGCCGGGAGACATTTTCAGTTGTTACAGCTGAAGAAGGAGTCTACTGGCATCTAGTGGGTAGAAGCCAGGGATGCTGCAAAACAACCTACAGTAGGCAGGACAACAAATTATCCAAAGGAAATGTCAATCTGGCCAACCTGGAGAACCACTGCTACAGGGGATTCTGTTTGCCTAAAATAAGAGTAACAGAATCCTGTCTCTGAAATCTTGGCATTTCCTCAGGTAAACATTTCACGTAAGGTGGTGGCCACAGCACCTACAATAACTAAGAACTGGGGCCTCCTCCAGTCCACATAACAGAAGACATGAGCAGTCTTTCCTGTCTGTATGTTTAGTTAATAAATGTCTGGATATGGCAGAATTTAGTTGGAGACATTAAGACCTGGCATTGTGGTCACCTGGGAGTAGCTAGCCCTTACCACTTCAAAAACATTTTCAGCAGCTATGCCCATCTGGAAAACATCCCAAGGATGACCTCACACCACAGACCCTGCTCAGGCTCCTCAGTAAGCATACAGAGCCCCCATTCCTGCATCAAAGAAAATAAATGGAGAATGAAGATGTAAAGCACCTTCTATTTGAACAAGTCACTCTTAGCTTTTTTTTCTTCTATTTTTCTGAGAAAAAGCAAAACCCTCACTTTTTTCATATTAGTAAGCTTCATTTGGCATGAATAAGGTAATGATATGATGTAAGGACACCAGAAAAAGCCGAAGCCCATGTAATAGCCATTTTGAGCAAATTGCCTTCTTGGAAGAGAGTAGGTGAGAAACAAAGGCCTTATAGCAGAGAATCTTGTCATTTGCATGTCTCCGCCTAAGTGTTTCCACTCTGGCCCCACCTGCTCCATCTAGACTGCTAACTCCCTGCACGGCGTAGCCCTTGTAACTGTGTGGGCAGTGAACTTGGCGATGTGAGGAAGCCAGGCTGATGGAAGGGGACCTCCCAGCCTCCCACAGGGCTATGAAAACCTGCTACTCGTGCCTGCCCTCCGTGGCACTAAGCCCAAAGCCTGGCACATAGTGGGTGTGCAATAGATGTTGTTGAAACTGCCCTGAACTCACCTGATATGCAGCAGAAGCTGCACTCCAGATGAAGCCCTCGGGAAATCGTCCGTAGAGGAACTCATCTTCCTTGGGCAGTGGCATGCCGTTGTTGGTGATGACCTCTGTGTAGTACCTAGCAGAGGCTCGTGCTGTGCGAGGCCTGTTCACATTATTGAAATCAACATGGTGCAGTCCAAACTTGACTGTATAGCCATTCAGCCACTCAAAGCTGTCCATCAGAGACCACGCAGCATAGCCTCGAAGGTCTACACCGTCAAGCCTGTAGGCTGGGAACAGCCCAAAAGGAGCACAGAAGAGCTTTATGCCGGGAAGGCAGAGTCCCTCAGAGCCCAGCCAAGTGCTGGGTCCTCCGTGCAGGACAGCAGTGTTACACCATCAGCCAGTACACACAGGTATGCCCAGACAGAAGTCTTGTCTTTCTTTTTTCCAGCACTCACACTCCTGTATCAAGTATTAATGACTGATCTTTGCAAAAATCAAATTCTTCTGGTGGGGTAAAGGGATGTGTCTCAAAAATACAAGAGTCTCAGCCCATTTTAGAAGTTAAGCACTGAAGTGTGAGGAGAGTTTCTTGCTCTGGGGTGCAAGGAACCCACCAGGATATGAACTCCACGTCAGCAGGAAGTTGCGTGTTTTGTTCACTGCTATCTACCCAGCATTTGGAATAGAACTCATCACCTCGTAGCTGCCCAATAATGAGCAAATGAACCCATGAGACTATTCCTGTGGGAACTCTGTATGTGCACATGGAGGAGTGACCATACTTCCTACAGATTACCACCCCCACCCCAGGTAACCCCCACCCCAGAGAAAAACTGTGGAATTAGGGCATAAGAGAGACTTGTTGATGGTTTATAACCCACTCTGCCAAGCCATTTCAGATGGCATTAGGATGTTGGAAAATTTTATAAGGGGGACATGAACCTTCACATACCTTTCAAAGCTTCATTGATGTAGGTTTTGTGGTAAAATATCCTATCAGTATCCTCCACTTTTGGGTTTGTCAGCCCCACCCCATTTTCAGTGATGTAAACAGGAATGTCACCATACTCTTCCTTGATCCAGCTGAGCAGTCGCCGTGTCCCCCAGGCTGCAGCTCTGCTCACTGCTGTGGAGGGCCATGAAGGGTCCTCCTCCTCAGTTGTTTCCTGGTCATCTTTGTATGAGGGAGGGTTTAACCTGGGTGTTGTATGCTGCACAATTCTGGAGGAGTACGTGTTGAGGCAGAACACATCAGCTGTGCCCCTGATGTACCTCTTCTCCTCCTCGGTGAAGCTTGGCAGGCGAGAGGTGGTTAAGTGTTGTAGTTCACTTCTGTTCCCCACTTTCCACTTCATGACATCAGGATAGTCTCCGTTTCGGAAAATGGGGTGGGCGAACCAGCCCAGGGAGAACTGCAGCATTCGGTCAGCTGCCTCCACATCCCTCCGCACCTCTGGTGACTTGGGCTCTGCCCAGTGTGCACTGAGGCTCAAAGAGATGACCCCCTTCTGGTCTTGCCTGTATGTCTTATCATAAGTGTGATAGACTCTAGCATGAGCTTTGATGAGTGCATGGCCAATCCTGTAAGGTGCCCAGCCTGGGTCCTTCACATTCGGGGGAAACTCCCCTGAGCCATAACCCAACCATGCCTGGTATGTGGGCTTGTTAAAGGTTATCCAGAACTTGACTCTGTCACCAAACGTCTGGAAACAAAAGTCTGCATAACTGTTAAACAACTCAATCAAGGAAGGATTCTCCCAGCCTCCAATATCCTGGAGGGCCTGGGGCAGGTCCCAGTGGAACAGGGTCACCACGGGAGAGATGTGGCTTCCCACCAAGCCATTGATTAGCCTGTTGTAATAATCAACACCTTGGCTATTGACAGAACTGTTTCTCCCAGTTGGGAAAATCCGAGACCAGGAGATAGAGAAATGATAGGCCTTCACTTTCAAAGCTCTAAGCATATTCAGATCAGCATCCAGCTGGTTATAGCTGTCACAGGCTACGTCTCCAGTGGCATTGCCTTTCACATTGCTCCCTGGCGTGTGGGTAAAGTTATCCCAGATGCTGGAGCCTTTGCCGTCGGCATTCCAAGCTCCTTCAGTCTGGTAGGCTGACGAGGATACGCCCCACAGAAAGTCATCTCGAAATGTGCCATGGTAAAACAGATCTCTTTCAAACTTGGGTTGGCTGGAGAACTTTTCCCAAATGACTTTAGCCTTGGAGGGCACCTCAGATGGAAAAGTAAAGGCTCTGATTTTAGGGGGGATGTTGGCAGTTCTGGGTGGTGGCAGTCTTTTTACTACTTTGGTGAGAAAACCGTTCTTTTCAATGATGCTGGTGAAAAAATAGGCAGATTTCCTGGGAGTCCTCGGCTTGCTGCTGTCACTGAAATTGACATGGTGCAGGCCAAACCTCTGGCTGTAACCAGAGGGACCTTCGAATCCATCTATGAAGGAACGAGCGATGTAAGATCGAATATCCACTGAGTCCTCCTTGACAGCTGTGAAAAAAACCCCACAAAATTAGAATTATTTTAGTCTCTGTTACTGATGATGCTTTTTAAAGGTTTTCCTTTCGTCATGAAAGCTTTGGAGGTGCCATGGAATTTTGACATGGAAGTTTGGAGGTTACCCCCAAAAACATTAACCCTTTTCCTCCTCAGAAAGAATAAAAGGAAAATCCACAAGACCCCCACAAAACATCAGGCCACATCCATGGTTATAGATCGCAATCCAAAGGAGCATCTCTATCTTACAATGACTAATAGAATGTGCCCCATCTGTTAGTATCAGGACTCCTTTGTTTTATACAGAATGCATAAATCATTTAATCTTAAAAAATGTGCTTTTGTTTTTCCTTGTCTATGTTTAGCAATATCAACATAAAATGAGCACACATCCCATGTTATAAAAGAGAAATAATGCCTAAAGAAATGTATTCCCTGGTGCAGTGGACATATCCAAAAGGCTGTCCAAATCTTAAGCCCTGGTACCAGTGATTATGATCTTAATTGGAAAAAGGGCTTTGTAGGTGTAATTAAGCTAAAGATCTTAAGATGAGACCATACAGGATTAACTGGGTGGGTCATAAGTCTGGGGACAAACATCCATATAAGAGACTAGGGAGAAGGTCCACATGAAGAAGCAGGCAGTGACTGGAGGGACAGTCACAAGCCGAGGAGGGCCTGGAGCTTTGGAGGGAGAGTGGCCCTCCTGACGTCCCAGCTTTGGACCTCTGACCTCCAGAACTGTGAGAGAATTTGAGCAGTCTAGTCAGGAACCAGAGCCTTGGGCCCTGACTGTGAGCCAGCAAAGTATTAAGCCCTGTATTTATCAGATTACACAGCCTCTCAACAAACATTAGTGGATAAGAGGCAGGTGAAGTTGCTCATTCATTCAATAAATAACTTAGAAAGTACCTTTGTCCCAGGTAGTGCTAGGTTCTGGAAACATAAAGACAAATAAAAGCCTCATAGATTAGTGGGTACAGCTGAGCCCGAAATAGAAAGGCCTGTGGATCCACTCACAGGATGTTTGGGCTCATCATTTATTCTCTCAGAACATCAGTTTCCACAGTTTTCCCATGAGGATAATTCTGCCCCTATTTGTATATGTAGGAGGCTGTTTCAAGGATCATGTGACATAATGTCTTCAAGGGACTACAAGCAAAGTATAACAGAGAGTGTCTGACCTCATGAATAGTGGGTAATGTCTCCATTCCTTACTGTAGTGCTCAGGGCAGGTATTACGAATCAACTCTTCCTCTCTGAATGTACTCAAGGACTTGAGAATCTTCTCAACTCAGACTCTAGGCAGAAGACTAGCTACTCTCAATTGATTAGGACTGACACATGAGGTGAAACCTATTTGCTGTTCTTTTTAGAATAAAAAGAAATATGGAACAGTATGTTAGGTAGAATGAGACTGTAAATATGGATTAACTGATTCAAAGTGAATGGTGTGAAATTATGGCCAGTTAAAGGAGATGGACACCAATGTGGCTGGAGCAGTGAGGATTTAATGGGTTGGAATCCCACCTTACGTCCCCATGCTGTCCTGTAGTGCCACTATCATCCTATACAGCAATTTTCTGTGTCCCTCTATAGTCTGTGAGTTTCCTATGAGAAAAGAGGATGTTTGTTCAATATTGTACCCTTACTGTCTTGTACAGTGTGTGGCACATAATAGGCACTCAATAATATTTGTTAAATAAATGCATTAAAAGATGATGAGGCTTTACCAATGGATAGGACTCTGATGGAGAGAATGTAGAAGAGAAGCAATCTAAGGATATCAAAACATGTGAGCAAAGACTTGAGGCTTTGTGGGGAGAAGGTTAGGAGGCTGTTGTGAAGGACTCATGCTATTACTTTTTGGCTTACAATTTCCTTGGGAGACTGCTTTTGTCCTACTAATTAGAACTCTGAAGACTTGGAGAAATACCACCCACCTTCCAATATCCACCAGCGTATCCACTGTTCTTACCCTTGAGCACCTCATTGATATATTGATTGAAGTAGTCTACCCTCAAGGAATCATCAAAGAGATCTTCAGTTTCCCCTATGGGCATGCCGTTCCCAGCCAGGTAGATCGGAACTCTTCCTCTTGTGTACTCCAAGGATGCAAACTGCAAAAGCCTCCTTATACCCCAGGGCACCACATGAATCCAAGGGGATGAAGTCTGGGGCCATTCAGGGTCCGTGTGTTGAGAGAAGTCACCAATGGTATTATAGCTAGGGATACAGGAATCTTGTTGAGCCTTGCTGATGAGGTGGGAAGTGTAATGAGACAGACCCAGAAAGTCAGCAGAGCCTTTCAGAAGCCGCTTCTCTGCCTTGGTGAACTCAGGGAGCTGGGCCACAGGCCTGGGGCACTGTTGGTTCATCCATTGGATCTGGGCCCTGAGGGCAGCAGGGTAGTCTCCATCCACAAAGATGGGGTGTGCAAACCAGCCCAGCATGAAGTGCAGGAAGCGTTCAGAGGCTCTCACGTCTTCAGGCTTCTCTGGAGACAGAGGTTCTGCCCAGTCTGAGTTCAGCACAATGCCCACGTGTCCCTGCTGCTGTGGGCGATAGTGGCTATTGTAGTGGTGCCAAACTCTGGCATGAGCCTTAAGGACCAAGTGAGCCACCTTGTGAAGAAGAAAGAAATACACTGTTTAGTAATAACACCAGCAATGTCAACATCAGCACCAACAAGCCAATAACAAGTCAACAACAATGTCAACAAGTTAACACTGAGGTCAACAACGTCACAAAAGCATCGACAAGTTAACAACATCAACAAGAAGTTGAGACTGATGCTAACAATGTCAACAAGTCAATATGGATGATGTTGATATCAAAAACATCAACAATGTGGACAGCAATGTCAATAAATCAACACCAACATCATGAACAATGTCAACAATTATGTCAAAAATAAGCCAACACCATTATCGATGGGTCAGCAGCAACTGCTATCGTTAACTGTTCTAACAATAACAATTACAAAACAATTGTTAATAAATTCTCTCACATAATCCTCACAATAGCCTATGTGTCAAGTACAATTATTATTATTATTATTATTAATTTTTATTTTTATTTTTTTTTAGGAGAGCAAAGCAGAGGCTTTTATTTAGAGAGAAAGCGGAAAGACAGAGCTCCTGGCTTAAGCCAGGAGGGGACAAGAGAGCCCCCAATTATTATTATTATATACAGATGAGAGAAACAGGATCCAGGCAGTCTAACTCCAGGCCTGTATTGTCACCCACAATGCTACTGTGACTTTGCCCTTAATAAGTGCTTGTTGACTAATTCGTCAACAACTGATTGGGGGTGGTGGTATATTATTTAACACCCGAGAGAGGGGGTAATTCTTTTTAGCCTACCTGTTCTCCTTTCTGCTTCATGAAATTTAAGAAGAAAAACCAAGACCAGCAATCTTTTTTTTGTAGACTTACCTCATGGTCTTACAAAAGTCCACAGCTTTCCCTGTTGAAGCACCACGGGGAAACGGGCCAGAGTGGGATGGCTGTAGTACAGAAAGCCTACTTTGAATCTCAACCCTGTCACAGACTTGCTCTGTGAACTCACACAATCTTTTCTCTCAGTTTCAGCTTTCTTGACTGCAGCAAGTGGGTGATTATGGATCCATTTAGAAGGAGTGAATGAGAGTGGGTATAAAGTTCCAAGCAGAAACTTGGGAGTGCAAGAGTGAACTTACTACTGCTTAGATCCCTTTCTTTTCCCTTTTTATTATCTGAATATGATGACACTTACATTTGAAGAATTTCTACCAAAATACTTCCTTGGAAGTGAAACTCCTGACTGCTTCTCATGCCCCAAATGTTAGTCCTTAACTGGGTCCTCAACTCCAATAGAGAATGGCCTTCTTTCCAAAAGGCAGGAATGCTTCCCTTATAAACTAGTCAGCATGAAGCAGGGTTTTCAATGGACTATTAGACAACTATCAGAAACAGTCACTGTGCCATGTAAGAACATGGAAAGTGTTAACAGCCTGTGTAGAGTACATAACTGGCACTAGGGTGATAACGATGTGTCAATGTTATTTCATCAGTTGAAACAGTGCTGCAGAGGGATGTTGATAATGGGGAGGTTGTGCATGTGTGGGGCAGGGGCATGTGGGAAATCACTATACCTTCCATCCAACTTTGTTGTGAACCTAAAGCTACACTAAAAACTAAAGTCTCCTTTAAAAAAAAGCACACTAAACTAAGTGCACACTATGACTACACTAGGAATGCAAGGAAGCCAAAACTGGAAGAAATATTGATAGAATTATGAGAGAAATCTTTTCTTTGAAATTTTTCCTAAATGGTATTATAATGTTTTAACTAAGAAATAAAAGCAATAATTGGAGGTGAAAAGTGAGGTGGACTTTCCCATCAAAGTCTCTACAGAAAATTCTCAGGAGCCATAATTGAAGGGATAAGAAGTCTAAGGAGAAAAGCCTGGGGTGAGTTTACAAGAAGACAAACAGAAAGGTGCAGACCTTCCATTTTCAGGTGTGTTCTCTGTATGTACGGTCACTTGCTGAACAGGAGCAGAATGGAAGCCTTGACTTAAGTGTTATAATTTTTGGCATTTCATTGAGTCATTCCTCAATACCTAGCATGGAGCACAGTAAATACTCATATTTCAGAAGAGAACCCAAAGTGTGGCAGGCGAAAGCCAAATGAACACATCTACCCAGAAGAATGCTGCCAGGGAAAGCTGGTCAGTTTTCTGGGAGATTCTGAAGAAAAAAGGGAAGTGGTTGAAAGGACCCGTATTAAGCCGTTTAAACTTTTGTTTCCAAAATGTACGTCCCCTTCTTGGTGAAGTGATACTCTTATTACTCTCTGGAAAGCCAAACTCTTTCTTCCTCCCCACCTGTCTCTCAGCCAGGGTGCTGAAGGGCAAAGTTGGAACCTGGACCCAAGTGATTGGCTCAGGGATGGGCCTGCAACTCATGCAGAAACCGTGAGACACAAGGGCACTTCTGGTGGGAATGTCAGGGCAGAGATAAGTTTTCTTTCCTGCTGCTCTGCTCTTGAAATATGAGAACAGGGCTGTTGCCATCTGGCTATCCGATAGCCCAAGAGGAAAGCCAATGAGTGGAACAAGAGAAGAAGAAAAACTGGGTCCTGGTGACATTGTTTGTGGTCTTACTAAGCTTTATTCTGATCAGCTAAAATCAAGACTTTTCAGTTTCCTGAACTCACAAACTGTCTCCTTACTTAGGTCAGTGTGAACTGACTTTTCTGTCACTTGCAACTAAGAGTCTTGGCTCACACTGAAAACTTGCTTTAGAGTTAAGAAGACTTTGGCTTAAATTCTGACTTCAGACTGCTAACCCACTAGTGATGTCATTGCAAGCAAATTGTTTCTCTTCTCTAAGCCCCAGTCCCCTCATCCATCAGTGCTGTTCTGAGGATATAATCACTATTTTTAAAGCATCAGCACAGAGTTTTGGAAAAAAATAAGGTGATTAACAATTTATAGTCCATTCTCTCCCTCTGATATTCTTTAAAGACAAAAAGTAAAGACTTGCTGCTAGGAAGAGAAAATGACTCTTCCAGCCAAATGTCCTTTATCCTCCAAAGAGTATGTGCTGCAAGGAAGGGAAATAAATACCTTAAAAGAGGCCACTCCTGGGTCAGAGATGCCTGGCGCATGTTGACCAGTGCCATAGCCTGCATAACTCATCACCCATGGCTCATGGAAGGTCACCCACAACTTCACACGGTCCCCAAAAGTAGAGAAGCAGAAGGCTGCAAAGTCCAGGAAGGCATCCACTGTGCTCTCATTCTGCCACCCACCGTGATCCTGCAGGGCCTGAGGCAGGTCCCAGTGGAACAGTGTGGCCATGGGCTGGATGTGGGAGGCCAGCAGGCTGTCAATCAGCTTGTTGTAGTAGGCAACACCCTGGGGGCTGGGACTGTGCCCATGCCCAGTGGGGAAGATGCGGGACCAGGAGATGGAGAACTTGTAAACCTGAGCTTGGAGGCCACGAAGCAGGGCAATGTCAGAGTCCACCTTGTGGTAACTGTCGCTGGCCACCTCTGGCGTTGCTTGGCCCTTGGTGGCATTCTGGTGCTTGAGTCGGTCCCAGACACTTGCCCCTCTTCCACCCTCAGCCCAGCCTCCTTCCACGTTAAAAGCTCCTGTGGAGACTCCCCAAAGGAAGCCTTCAGGAAAAACGTCCTGCAGGAAAACATCCCTTTCCGTCTTGGACTGGTTAGCAAACGTTTCCCAGAGTCTCCGGTAGGCTGAGCGCGGTGGCAAGGAGCCTACTGTGGCCTTGAGGTCCTGCTGTGGGGCAGTCTGAAGGGTCAGGCTTTCGGTCAGAGAACAAGACCAGCTGCAGAATTGAAATGACATAAAGTGACATAATAAGTAATGACTATGAGTTACAAATACCCTCAGACTGATGAATAGTGACAATGTGTTTAATCAGTAAAGATTCCGGAAATACTGAGTCAAAAGCCATATCCACAAAGTTATGAGCAAGAAGTGACTGGTAGATGGGAAAATCGTTATTACACCTTCTTAGAAGAGTTATTATTGCTCCTGCCTGAGTAAAAATACTGTACCAATGCTGTTCTCTGTATTAGATCATCCTTAAACACTGTCTCCAGTTCTAGTGCCATCCTTTTTTCTTCTTATATTGTTTATATTCTTCTTATAATTTATTGTTTATAAGATATAGCTAATAATAATGATGACTTTAATTTATTGAGCCTCAATTCTGTACTGGCCATGGTGATATAAGAATATCTGCCTCTCATTTAATTTTCACAGTACTTTTAAAGTACTACAATTATGTATCTCATTCTACAGGAAAGTACTAAGAAATGAGTAGTTCTGGGCATCATGGGACCAGCAGCTATTTACCAGCTGATATAGAAATATTTAAATAATTGAACTACTCCCAGTTAGAATACATTCAAAATTAAGTATCAACTTAATACAGACTGCTATATATGTAGGATGTCATAAATGAACCATATAGTAACCACAAACCAAAACAATTATATTATATAAAATAATACATAAAACTATAATAGTAAAAAAATTAAGAGAAATGAATTCCATCATAACACTAAAGAAAGTCATCACTCAAAAGGGAAGAGAAGAGGAGAGGAAGAAAGGCCAGAGAAGAATGTCAAAAACAACCAGAAAACATTTAACAAAATGGCAATAAGTACATACTTATCAGTAATCACTGTAAATGTAAATGGATTACATGCTTCAATCAAAAGACAGGCTTACAAAAAAAATCTGTAAGATCCATCTATATGCTGCCTACAAAAGACTCACTTCAGACCTAAAGGCACACACAGACTAAAACTGAATGGATGGAAAGAGATATTCAATCCCATTTACATTTCATCAAAAGAATAAAATACCCAGGAACTAACCAAGAAGGCAAAAGACCTGTACATTGAAACTGTAGCACATTGATGAAAGAAACTGAAGAAGGGATGAATAAATGGAAAGCTATCTCATGCTTATGGATAGGATGAATTAATATCATCCAAATGACCATACTGCTCAAAGCAATACACAGATTCAATGAAAACACCATCAACATACCAACAGCAGTTTCCACTGAACTAAAGCAAATAATCGTAAAATTTAAGTGGAACCACAAAAGACTGAGTAGCTAAGGCAATCCTTAGGAAAAAGAACCAAACAGGGGATATCACACCTCCTGATTTCAAGATACACTACAGAGTTGCAGTGATTAAAAACAGTATGGTACTGACATAACAATAGATACATGGGTCAATGGAACAGAATGAGAACCCAGAAATAAACCCACACAAATATGGCCAATTAATATATGATAAAGGATGCAAGAATGAGGAAAATATAATTTCATCAATAAGTGGTGTTGGGGAATTGGACAGCTGCATGCAAAAGAATGAAACTGGATCACTGTCTTATACCATAATAAACTTGAAATAAGCTAAAGACCTACATGTAAGACACCAAACCATAAAACTGTTTGAAGAAAACATGGGTAGGAATTTCTTGAACATCAGCATTAGTAATTTTTTCTGGATGTCTCCCTAGGCAGGGGAAACAAAATAAAAAAAAGTGGGACCACATCAAACTAAAAAACTCCTGCACAGCCAAGGAAACCATCAACAAAATGAAAGGCAACCTACTGTACAGGAGAATATGCCTGCAAATGATATATCCAATAAGGGGCTAAATCCAAAATACATAAATAACTCATATGACTCTACACCATAAAAACCAACCCAATTAAAAAATGGGCAGAGGACCTGAACAGACATTTTTCCAAAGAAGACATAAAGATGGCCAACAGACATGTGAAAAGATGCCCATCATCACAAATTATCAGGGAAATGCAAATCAGAACCACAATAAGATATCATCTCAGACTGGCTACTATCCAAAAGACACAAAATAACAAGTATTGGCAAGGATGTGGAGAAAAAGGAACCCTCCTACACTGTTGGTGGGAATGTCAATTGGACAGCCACTGTAGAAAGCAGTATGGAGGTTTCTCAAAAAACAAAAAAACCAGAAATACCATATGACCCAACAATTCCACTTTTGGGAATTTATACAAAGAAAACAAAACCACTGATTTGAAAAGACGTTTGTACCCCTAAGTTTATTGCAGCATTATTTAGAATAGCCAAGATATGGAAACAACCTATCAACAATGAACGGATAAAAAAGATGTGATACATATATGCAATGGAATATTAATCAGCCATAAAAAAAAGAAATCTTGCCATTTGCAAGAACATGGATGGATCTGGAGGACATTATGCTAAGTGAAATAAGCCAGTCAAGGAAGGACAAATACCATTTGATTTCACTTATATGTGGATTTGAAAAATCATCAAAGAAAACTGAATCAGACTCATGAATTCCAGAACAGACTGATGGTTACCATAGAGAAGGGAGTGGGGATGGAGGTTGGGTAATAGTTGAAAGGGACAAAGAAGTACAAACTTCAAATTAATAAATAAATTAGTCTGCTTATGGAACGATACAGCATAAAGAATATAGCCAATAATATTGAATGTCTTTGTGTGCTGGCAGATGGCAGGTACACATATTGTGGGGAGCATTTAGTGATGTATATAACTGTTGAAGATGGTTTACATCTGAAACCAATGTCATATTATTTATCAACTATATTTCAGTTATAAGATGGAAAAAATAAATAATTGAACTACTGGTATAGCTCTACTGATGTTTAACGGCTAAATATCAACCTCAACTACAGCCTCCTTTTTTCTTCATGCTGCCTGGATTATGAACATAATGGCAGGAGCTCAAGCATCCATTCCAGACCATAAGGTAGAAGCCTTGTTAAGGATGACAAAGCAACAAAATATAAGCCTGGATTCCTGATGATTATACCCACTCTAGACTATCCATTTCCAGCCTTTTTAATGTATGTGAAATCATATTTCTTTACAAAAAAATGAGAACTCCTTGATCACATAGCTCACAAGTGGTAGAGCAGAGTCTCCACTTTAATCACATATCACTATATATGTGTAGACATTTATGTGTGTGTATATATATATATATTCAATATGTCTGAAATATAACAAAAAATGCTATCCTTATGTGCAATACAGCATATTTTCTATTTAATTATAGTCTGTTTCTCTCCTCTCTTCTTCTTCTTCCTCTTTTTTTTTTTTTTTTTTTAAATATTGCCTTTCTAACCAAACCTTTTCCAATCCACAAGTCCTGTCTTGCAGACTGGAAAGCATGGTACCATAGTATGTGGCAGTTACACCAGCAGAGGGCAAACTTGAGGAAGAGTTGGTTCTGGTGGGTGTGTTTGGTCTGGAGAAGAGAACACACCTGGGGAAAGTAGGTGAGTACAAGAGTAACCTTTTCCAATCCACAAGTCCTGTCTTGCAGACTGGAAAGCATGGTACCATAGTATGTGGCAGTTACACCAGCAGAGGGCAAACTTGAGGAAGAGTTGGTTCTGGTGGGTGTGTTTGGTCTGGAGAAGAGAACACACCTGGGGAAAGTAGGTGAGTACAAGAGTATCTCCCCGTCCGCGGGTCATCATGTGGAGCCAGGGAGATGTTTATGCTAGGTTGGCCCAGGGCACAGAACTGATAGAGTAACAGGGATGCTGCAGAGAGTCCTCTTTCCAATGGAATGAACACCAGGCTTCCCAAACCTGAACACCTCCTGTTTAACAAAACACCAACTCACTCAAGTTTGCTAGAACAGAAGTGGTGAGAAGAAAATGATGATCCACAGTTGCAGATTACCCAAAATACATACACCACTCGGGCACAGCCAGAGACACGATGATGGCCATTTGATGCATAGCCTCAGCTGCTCTGACCCAACCCTCCTGACCCTCACTGCCCTCCTGGCTTGGAGGAAAGGAGGTATTGAAGAAATAAACTGCCTCTTCATAAAAATAGACCTTGCCCTACAAGCCTTGGAGCTCGGAATCTCGGGTTGGCCTAGTGGGAAAAGACTTAGCACCCAGAGCCTCAGTCTCTGTGCTCAGTCCTTCCAAGTACCCCTGACTCTAAGCCACCTCAGAGCATTCCAGATAATGCTCTTTCCTCCTTCCTCTGTGGAGCAGTGCTATGTCTCCTGCCACAGTTTGAAGTTAGAAGTTATTTGTAGGCCTCTATAGCTCTACTCTGAGGTCCAAAATTCTCAAGCAAGAAAAAAATTAGTCTTTTTGGAAACCCCCTCCACCTGCCCTGCACCCAGCAGGCTCTCCATCACCATCTACCTGAGTGAGGATTCTCGGCTGTCAGTTTAACATTAGCCAGTGTTGGACCTTTGCTTCAGAGAAAGTTCCACAAGGTCAAGGCATTAGAGAGAGATTCTTGGAGCCTGTGTCACATGTCACCTTGTGGTTTTGTAATCACTGAGCTTTCAGAGTATCCCATTTATTATGACCTTTTCAGTTCTGTTTTCTGAAAAGATAACAACCCAGCATTCTTCAGCTAACTCCAAATGTAGTCAGGGAACAGTTCTGACCTATCTGTGCATTGTGCTGTTCAAATGCCAGCACAAAGCCCAGTATGTGGCAGCCACTCAGAGTCTGATGATTTGAACCGTCAATTTGAAGTGAGAAGAGAGGATTGAACAATGGAAGGAGATACAGAGCTCAGGAAAGCCAAGAGCTGGGAGGGGAAAAATACAAAGGGGTGGTGGCCACTGAAGTTTATGACCTTGGACAGAACTGCCTGAGCAATGTCTGAGGTGAATGACAAGGAGAGCCCTGGCTGAAGGTCTGGGATGCCAACTGCCCCCAGGCTTTCCTTGGTGTGTGGTACTTGAGCTCATGCATGTAATGCACAATCATGGGACTGCTGAGAGTTCTGAGGAACTCCCAGTGCTGATTTCCACACCATCCTATTTATTAAAATTGAAGTACCATTGATACACAGTCTTATATTGGTTTCAATTATACAACACAGTGGTTCAACAGTTACACATATTATTAAATTCTCAGCCCCACTAGTGAGATTAGTGTCTGTCAACATAGGAAGATGTTACAGAACCACTGGCTGTATTCTCCACGCTGGACTACTATCCCCATGACAAACTTATATTATGATTGAGAATTTTTGTGCCCCTTTCTTCCCCTTCACTCTCCCAACCTGTCCATCCCGACCCCTCCCCCATTAACTTCTCAGTGTCTATGAGTCTACTGCTATTTTGTTTTGTTTTGTTCTGTTTTTAGATGCCACACATAAGTAAAATCATATGGTATTTATCTTTCTCCTCTTGGCTTATTTCACTGAGCATAATATCCTCTAGGTCCATCCATGTTCCAAATGGCAGGATTTCTTTTTTATGGCTGAATAATGTTCCACCATGTATATATACCACATCTTCTTTTTCCATTCATCTACTGATAGACACTTAAGTTGTGTCCATAACTTGGCCATTGTAAATAATGTAGTAATAAACATAGGGGTGCATGTTTCTTTTTGAATCAGGGATTTTGTTTCCTTCATCTAAATTCCTAGACATGGAATTACTGGGTCATATGGTATTTCTATTTTCAGTTTTTTGAGGAATCTCCATGCTTCTTTCCACAGTGGTTGCACCAATTGACATTACCACCAACAGTGTAGGAGGGTTCCTTTTCTCCACATCCTTGCCAACATTTGTTATTTCTTGTCTTTTGGTTAGTGGCCATCCTAACTGGTGTGAGGTGATATTTCACTGTGGTTTTAATTTGCATTTCCCTGATGATTAGCAATGCAGAGCATCTTTTCATGTGGCTGTGGGCCATATGAATTTCTTCTTAGGAAAAATGTCTGTTCAGGTCTTCTGCCCATTTTTTAATCAGGTTATCTGATTTTTTTTGGTGTTGAGGCACATGAGTTTTTTAATATATTTTTGATGTTAACCCCTTATTGGATAAATCATTTGTGAATATATTCTCCCATATTCTAAGTTGGCTTCTTGTTCTGATGATAGTATCCTTTGTTATACAGAAATTTTTAGTTTGATGTAGTCCCACTTGTTCATTTTTTATTTTGTTTCCCTTGCCCAAGGAGATGTGTCCAGGAAAAAATTGCTCATGCTTATGTTCAAGAGATTTTTGCCCTTAGTTTTCTTCTAAGAATTTTATGGTTACATGTCTTACATTTAGGCCTTCAATCCACTTCAAGTTTACTTTTGTGTATGGAGTTAGATAGTGATCCAGTTTCATTCTCTTGCATGTATATATCCAGTTTCCCCAACCCAGCTATTGAGGAGACTGTCATTTCCCCATTGTGTGTCCATGGCTCCTTTATCATATTAATTGACCATATATGCATGGGTTTATATCTGGGCTCTCTATTCTGTTCCATTGATCTATGGGTCTGTTCTTGTGCTAGTACCATATTGTTTTGATTACTGTAGCTTTGTAGTACAGCTTTGTAGTCAGGGAGAGTAATACCCCCAGCTTTGTTCTTCTTTCTTAGGATTGGTTTTAGATATTTTGGTGTCTTTTGTTGTTCCATATGAATTTTAGGATTATTTTCTCTAATTCTGTAAAAACTGCCATTGGTATTTTGATAGGGATTGAATCTGTAAATTGCTTTGGGCAGGATGGCTATTTTGGCAATATTAATTCTTCCTATCTATGAGCATGGGATGTATTTCCATTTTTTTGGTGTCTTCTTTAATTTCTCTTGTGACCGTCTTATAGTTTTCAGAGTACAGGTCTTTTACCTCCTTGGTTGGGTGTATTCCTGGGTATTTATTCTTTTTGAATCAATTTTAAATGAAATTGTTTTACTGATTTATCTTCTGCTAGTTCATTGTTAGTATACAGGAACACAACAGATTTCTGTATATCAATTTTGTATCCTGCAATTTTGCTGAATCCACTTATTAGTTCTAATAGTTTTTTGGTGGTGTTTAGGGTTTTCTATATGTAATATCAGGTCATCTGCAAATAGTGACAGTTTCACCTCTTCCTTACCAACTTGGATATCTTTTATCTCTTTATCTTATCTGATTTCCATGGCTAGGACTTCTAGTACTATGTTGAAAAAAGGTGGTGAGAGTGGACATCCTTGTCTTTGTTCCTAATCTTAGAGGAAAAGCTTTCAGCTTTTCACCATTGAGTATGATGTTAGCTATGGATTTGTTGTATATGGCCTTTATTATGTTGAGGTATAGTTTATTGAGAGTTTGTATCATGAATGGATGTTGAATTTTGTCAAATGCTTTTTCAGTATCTACTAAGATGATCATTTGTTTTTTTATTCTTCTTTTTGTTAATGTAGTGTATGATGTTGCTTGATTTATGAATATTGTACCATCTTTGCATCCCTGGAATAAATCCCAATTGGTTGTGATGCATGATCCTTTGGATGCATTTTTAAATTCATCCACACCACTATGAGTATGTGAGAGTGAGGCAATTATGGGGTACCTTCCAAGCTGCAATTTTTAAAAAAGATATGTGATTTACAAATTTTGGCACTTGAGTCATTTGGTAAGAAATTATTTTGCAGCCCCAGCATACATTAAAACCTCTGTTCTTAGGACACCACTAAATTAGGCTTCTGCCCCACTACAACAGATGGTTTCCTATTTATGCTGTTGCCTCATGGAAAAGATGTTTCACATTTTGCAAAAGAAAAATGAATACAGTTAGTTACTTATATCATGTAATTTCTATCACATAAAGATGTCTCCTTAATCCAGCCTGTTCTTCCACAAACTCATGCTGCCTCCAACAAGATCTTAAATAAGAAGGCAGGGTTTCAAATCCCAGTTCTGCTAGTTGTGTTCACTTGGGCAGACTGCAAGGTGGCTGAGTGACAGGTGGGAATGGAAAGTATGTGGAGCCCAGAGTAAGACTTTGTGGGAGACAGGTTGTCCCTGCTGTCCCCTCTGAGCCTTCATCTCTCTACAGAAAGGCCGCAGTAAAGTCACTGGCCTGACAGGTGGATGACAACAGTCCCATAAGATTACATATGTGAAAGAACAGCAGAGTATTCTGCAAATATCAGTTGTAATAGTTTAACAGGAAATCTAACTTTACCTTTTCTTGGAACTTGGTAGACAGCTCAGGAAGGTATTAATATCAAACCCAAGGGTGAGCACTTGGTCTTTATTTATGGCTGTAAGAGAAGTTTAATTAACTGTACTTGAAGCCCAGTGAACAATATGCATGACTGCAGTCAATAGTGTTCTCATACAGTTCACCCAGACCTCAAGCAGTGGTTCCAAGCCCACCCTCTTCCCAGGGAAGATGCCATGCGCTAAGGATCTAAGGAAGTCAGAAGCGATTTTTACCTACATGTGACCGAGAAAAATGGCTCTCAAACCTGCGGCCATCAAGTCACCTGCAGGGCTTCTGAAGCACAGATTGCTACCCCCACTTCCCCGAGTCTCTGATATGGTAGGTCTGAGGTGGGCTGGAGAATGGGAATGTCTAACAGGTTCCCAGGTGGTGCTGATGGAGGCCACAAAGTGAGAACAACTGACCGAGAAGAATCAAAACTCAAACTTCAGAAAGGCGTGGATGTTGTTTTTAGTTGTAGCTAAGTACACGTAAACATAGACTTGACCATGCTGACCACTTAGAAAGGGATGGAATTTAAGAACAGAAATCATTCTGCCATCAAAGGTGAGTTAGGGCCAAGGTTACTAAGTAGTGTCTATGGACAAGTTTTATGAGGTCTGTGAGGACAGCTCAGCCCTGGCTACAGGTGGCAGAAAGGGCACTACCAACTTCTCCCATGCTCTGACTTTACGAGGCGACTGCACTGAACATCAGGGCACCAGGAACATGCCCCTCAGCCCCTTTCTGCAGAGTCTCTTAGTGACCCTCAGCCCTAATGCCTTAACAGACCCCACCTATCTCTGGACCTGATTGGACCAGGAGCAATCTCCTAACCCACTGCCCACTGATCAGATACACCGTCAAGAGTTTGAACTAAGAGACACCATGGAGATGGTTCATGGGCCATGTGGGTCCCAGACCAGAAGATTTTGGTCAGGTGCCCACCAGGGCTACATGCAAGCTGAGGTCCTGGGGAAATGAGCAAGAGTAAGCAGTGGGGGCTGACTCGGGGGGAGAGGGTGCCTTGCCAAGGAGAGCAGAGATGAGACCTTGGAGGCAGGGGTAATGGAAGGGGACACTCAGGCACAGAGTAGCTCCCACTCTTATCCTGATATTTGAGGCCTGATGGTCTTAATTTCCATAAGACCAAGGCATCCTTGTACAGAACCTCTCTTCTTTCTGGGTCAAAAGCTTAGGAGCTAAGGGACCAACAACAGGAAGGCAAGGGACACTAAACCTACCTGGGTGGGCCCTCAGACCAGCCCACCTCTGGCCCCTCCTGCCATTGAAACTCCAGAATTTCCAGACTGCTACCCACCCAAGCCAGTGTACCAAATGTCACTCAAAACCTCTCCAGTGATGGTCTACTGACCTTCCAGAAGGCTAAAGAGAAGCCTAGCTGGGTTCTTCCTGGTAGAGAGGCAGTCCTGAAGTTTTAAATTGAAGATGAAAACTTTCACTTTCGGCTCAATAGTCTGAAAAAGAAAAAGGCCAGGAAGTGAGCTGAAGCTGCCTAGAAAAGGTCTTCTAATAACACGGACAGCTTTTCAAGACAAGAAGGTACAACCAGTCTGGTTTTGGAAATGACCTCCAGCCATCTCAGTTAATGAAGGGAGTGAGTCTAAACTCAGAGAGAAAGATCTACACTTTTCAATAACATAGACCAACCTCCCTGCAGCACCCATCAACGGTCGGCCTCATCCATGCCTTCATCTTGGGCTTTAAGGCACCTCCCAGAACCAGGCAGTGTTACCAGGAACAAGGCTGTCTGCTCCTGTCAGTGTTACTACAAGAAGCTCAATCAGGTTCCACCATCCATCACAATATCTATGAATGTCTGGAGTTTCCTTCAAAACAATGTGGTTTGGGAGGGGGAAAGTAGTGTGTAGATGAAACAAGGTCAGCCACAAGCCCATAGCTTTTGAAGCTGGGGATGGCTTCATTATACTTTTCTTCTACTTTCGGGTATATTTGACATTTTTTTCCTAATAAAAAGTTAAAAGAAGCTGTCTTCATTAAAATTGGAGCAGGTGTAATGTTTTCTTCCATTTGTAGCCATCTCGGAGTTGAAGGAAACATCTCTACGCTGACACGCTGTTTGATTTCACTTAGATTACCTTTCTTGGAGGTTCAGGCTGGTCATTTTCCTCAGGGTAACTGACTCCTCCTCTGAGGAGTTAGAGGCCACCGAGAGATACCAATAGCACCTACTTAAAAAGGAGGCAGGCACTTAATTTTCTTAGAGACACTAACAATGTCCGTTCTTTACAGATGAGGTGCCTTCAGCTCTGAAAAGCAGAACAGGTGTCCCAGGACCAGTTAATGGAGTTGCTATTCCCCCAGCCCTGTTCTTTCCCAGTGCTGGGTCCCTACAAAGGAGGGTTTTCTTCTTCCTGAAAGATCAATACACAGCGGGGACGGCCTGCGAAATCACAGGCCTGGAGAACTGGAGGCGCCTTCTGCTGCTGAGTGGAGAATTCCCTGGTTTAGCAGAGCCTTTTCTGGTAAGTGGATGTGGGGATCCCTTTGCACACCTCTCTGAAGAATTCAGAAACTGTGGATATGCTATGGCTCTTCACTGATGTTCTCAGTCCCCTAAGACACCTGTGTGCCAGTGCGAGCTGCAACTGACGGTCCCTGAGGCTCAGCGAGGGGCGTGCGGATGCTGTGGGGATTGTGGAGGGAGATGGGAAGAGAGGGTGCCCGCTCCTCCCAGCCCTCTGCCCTTCCCTTGCAGCCCAAGGAAGTGAATGGGCTGGGGGGGATGATGGATGGAAGGGGAACTGCGACAGGAAGCTGTGGGGCAGCTTCGGGTTCCTGTGGACACAGTCAGGGCCTCTCCTGGGGAGAACTCAGCTCTTTGTTCTGTCCTGGATGGGACCACTGCGTAGGAAATGCTCCAGGCATGTAACAACCCCAGAAAGGGACAGGTCCTCTCCAGCTCAATTCTCTCCTTATTGCTGGGGGATCAATTGGTCATCCTGAATCTTTGGGGCGGCACCTGGGCTGTCAAGTACATCTGGAATTTAACTCCTACCTAAGGAAATAAAAGTAACAAAGAACCATTGCAGGATGTGATAAATAATTTTGTGATAAATAAGTGATAGGTAAGTTTGTCTAGGGACAGTTTCACTATTTGGTTGGCCAGCTATGGCCTGAGGGTTCACAGCTTTATCCAGACACTGGTGGGAGCAGGTTTTCTTGAAAATGTTTTGCCATAAAAAGGGAAACACTATAAACCACATCCTCAAGCAGAAACTGGGCCAATGCTCTGTTGACCGCCCCTCGGAGGCATGCCGCAGATGCACCACCCAGATGGTTCTTAAATGCCAGCAGTGTCTGAACTCATTAGCTTAAGAAGTGTGGTTGAATTTCTTGACGGAGACAAAAGACAGATTTGGTTGTCACAGCCACCAGCAAGCCTTAAAGACAGATGAGTTTTAAATTGAAGATTTAAAACTTTTAATTTGAAGATTTAAAACTCAAAGACACTATAGTGCTGATGAAGGCCCAGAAATCTGGCTAAAGCCTACAAATGCAGGCTCTGGGTCAAGCCAGTGCCCATACAGGTGAGCAGGTGTTTACAAAAACAACTAAAATCATATGTGATTTTAAGAAATACCACTTTCATTATAATAGTCTGAACACCTTGGACTTGTTTTGGAGGGACAGTGTGGTGTCATGAGAAAGCCTAGCTCCAATCTGGCTCTGATGCTCTCTGCCTAGTGTCTGACCTGTTGAGTCTTGGGGTTTGCTGTGACGGGTAGAGGTAATGCGAGGATAAAGTCCCCCATCCAGTGCCAGGGATAGACTGGCACTAAAATCATACCAGCTAATACTCAAATGTCTTGTGAGTGCATCTGCTATCTTTGATTAGATCATCTTGTGGTTTGTAGGGAACACAAAGCCATGGTACCTACACGGGTCATCTGGAAACACATACAGACATGGGGAAGCTAATTTGTCTGCCTCAAATTTCCTGCCTCAGATAAAATGGAGGTACCACTAAGCAGAGGCATGAGGATTTGACATTAGTAAGCTTGGCCTTTAAAAATAAACTTCCTCTGAAAATACATCCTCCTTGGTGGGCAAGGTGGTGGGATTCAACAAGAGGGGGCGCAGAGGTGAACGGAAAGGCGAATGGTTCTGTGCCCAAACTGCCCAGGCAGGAGTAAGGTGTGGGTGGGTTACGGTGGCAGACATCTGTAGAGGGCCTGGGAGAAGGCCGCTCTTCAGGGGAAGTACGGAATACTGCTAAGACTGAGGAAGTCTGGAGACAAACCCTGGATGTAAAATCATTTATACACCATGACGAGATAGGGAGCTGTCAGGACGCCAGGGAATTAAGCAAGTAAGTTGCAGAGTAGTGACTAAGCATAGGAGAGAAAACTGATAGTTGGGTAGGAGACACCTAACATTCTATCTCTAAAGACTTGAGAAAAACAATTCTGGGCACAAGAAGGAGGAGCCCAAGGTTACAGGAAGATCCCGTAGCTGGTGTCTGGTTTAGTACACCTGGGTGTGAAATGTATTTTTAAAAAGTGTGGTAAAATACACGTAACAGAATTTTCCATCTTAATCGTTTTTCAGTTCAGGAGCCTTAAGTATGTCAGGAGCATTGTTGTGCAACCATGACCATCATCCATGAAATGTCTTTTTTTAGTCTCAGAATGAACACTGAAATTTTGATTGTCAGTAGTTTCTACACAAGAGAGCAGAATACCCCTGTATTTACCTTAACAAGCCAACCCTCATTATTCTTTCAGGGGAGTCTGCCTACTTTCCCCGAATGTTCTCTAGTGATGTTTTCAAAGGAAATCTCCCCAAATGCAACTCTGCAGAACTGCTGACTGTTGGTGGAAGTTCAGTTTACATATCAGCTGAAGCATTAGATTTATAATATGCTCTCAGGAACCCTTGCCATTCATCATCAGTATGGGAAATGACTCAAATTACCTGCAATTTACCCAGCTTCTGCTTTAAACTTGCTTCACTTTGGCATTCATAAGACAAATCAAGAGAGAGGAAATCAACTGCGCCCTAGAAATAAGCAAACAGGGTCATTAGAGCATAAGCAATTTCAAAACAGAACTACTCAAAGTATTCTTCTTTGTTTCTCCCCCTGTTACTAAACTGAATATTCCAAGTGGGATCTTCCAAGGGAAAAGCAGGTAGAGGAAGCTGGGGATGGAGTGAGAATGTGTGTTGGGGGTGTGCCTGCATGTTGGGAGTACAGTGTCCTCTATATACTCAGTAAAGTGCTTGCAGTAAGTGCTCAATAAATGCATATAATTAAATGAATAAGTGAGTGAATGAATGAAGTACTGTATGCCGAAGTGGTGGGTTCTAACCAAGCAGGGGAGCACTGAGGAAGGGAGTCAGAGGCCAGAGCTGCCCCCGCAGCACCTCCTTCAGGGCCTTCAAACTTTGCCAGGGAGGTGGTGGAGCCCTCAGCACCCCATAGCCACTCAGGGATCTCTACAGTGTCTTCTGGGGTTTGGGATTTCAACTGACTATATGTGCTATAGTCACTGACTACTTTCAGGCGGCCACAGTTAAAATTCCACCTCAGTTGGCCCTAGCCTGGCCCATTCTGTTATCTAAGAATACAGCTCTCACGGTCCTGGACATACCCTTTGCCCGTCTATGGCCTGCATGAGCTCTAAGAACTTCAGATTCAGACAGTATGAACACATAAAGATACCACTGTGATTCCTGCCCCACCCGTCTCGGCAAGCCATTTCTATCCTTGTTACGACTAGATCATTATCTGTCTTCTCCCCTCATGGGTCATTTTTTTCCCTCAGGACAAAGACCCTAGTGAACGGCATCTGGTGACAATCAACGCACTGTGGACCCGTGATAACTGCCTAATCACTGGCTCCCTGTGGCTTTCCTGGTCAAGTTATCATGTTTACCAAGCAATCTGCACACTTGCTCCCCTACCTTGGCACCACTTGAATCTTCTACCGGCCCTCACCGCTCTTGCATTTGTCTGTCAATTCCATGTGACACATAGTAATTGAGTTCCTACTCTTGAAAGTCACTGTGCTGAGTACAGCAGGTGGGAATTCGTGTTTAAAGATGAGATCTACAGAGGCGTACAACTTAATGAGAAAGTTGGCAAGTGTGCCAATTACAAGAAAGGGCAGAAAACTAAAAGTGCTATAAGAAAAGTCCATACCAGTTGTCCTCAAATCTTGGTGAGGATCTGACTCACCTGGGAACTTGAGAAGCCAATGATTATCCCTTCACATTTAAGCCTCAGCCTGTGTGTGCTTTACTAGCTTTCCAGGTGAGTCTATACACACCAGAGCTTGGAAACTGCTGGTCTACTCAAACTCCTAAGGGTCCCACGTCAGGGAGAAATCATATCAGGTTGAGTCAGGGAGTATTGTTAAGTAAGGCTTCTTGATTCACATGGTTGTTGAAAATGGGCAGACTTTTGTTGGAAGAGATTTGAGGAAGGCTAGGAGAACAGGAACAGCATTAAGTAGGGAATGCAGATCAGGAAAAAGGCATAGCATATGCACTGGGAAAAAGCTGGACAGAGAGCAAGACAGCCTGGGTGAGCCGCACCCTGGACAGCCCCGAGGGACTTGCGCCAGTTCAGGGGAGTACAGCTTCCAAACAGAATTGATCAAAACTGTGCTTTTGCAAGATGACCCAGAAGCACTGTGTGGCCTAACCTGGGGCAGAGAGACCAGTTCAAAGGCTATTGCTCAATAAGCACTTTTCTGATCAGCACCTTGGTCTCCTGAGTTCATAACTGATAGCAGTTATCATTCCTTGTAAATTAATTTAGATGCCATTCTCACCAGACAGTCAGCCCTAAAGCTGATTATTCAGGCCTTTATCACACCTGGATTTTAAGGTCCTGAGCTGGTAAATCTGAGGGACAGACCCTGACATATGGGGCCCCCATCATAGCATAGATACCAGTGTCTGTCGTATTGCAGGGTGGTATCTGTACCGCACCCTGTCAGTGCCTCAGAACTACAGAACTCAGCTTTTTCTGATGGCTTTCAACCCTGCCCAGCAGTCAGTGTTACAGGGGTCAAAGCTGTTTAATTCTCAAATGTAACTTTTCTTATCAAACTTATAGTTAAAAAGTTGTATTTACAGGAGGTAGAAACCAGGATGGGTACTCTAGAGAGGACATTATTTAAAAACAAAAACCTTTTGTCCTAGTATCTGCTTTGCTATGAAGTAACCTGTCCTCTAATAAGCTATTTTGGACTCTTTTAATCACAAATCCGAGAAAGCAGAGGCATTTAACTTCTGCGTAGGCAAAAAGCTGACACTCGACCAAGAGCTGGGGCTGCAACAAATGAGATATTGTTTTTAAAGTAATTTTGGATCTACAGAATGTAGTCCACTCAGAAGAGGCATTAACAAAAATGCCAAGCAAGTAGACAAAAGCTTCTCCTGTTTTTTAAAATTAAATTCACAACTTTCCGCTGATGTTACAGATGTTGTTTCTTTGGGCTGTGCTCACCTTGGCGAGCGCAGACGTGGAGGGTTCCAGCAGCGACTCGTCGACCGCGTCCGCTCGCAGGACCACGGAGAGTTTTCCGCCTGAAATCAACCAGAAGGAGCCGCAGGTGAGCGAGGCAGGAAGCCCAGACAGCAGAAGCTGCCTGGGGACTCACTTCCTACTGGCCTTTTCAGTCCACGGTCGCCGACTTTAAAAAGGATTTCTGAAGAAATCACTCACATGACTTTACCCCAGCTGAAAGATTTTAGAAAACAAGGTGGCTTAAAAAGAAAAAAAAAAGTCCCTTGAGAGAATGTTTCATGTAAATAAGAACTCTGAAACGCTTGTAAAAGTCTTTTAGAAGAATAAAAGCAGTTACCCTGCCCTGCCCTCAGCAACATAAAAGGCAGTAAGGAGAGAACTCTTTCTGTAACTTCTTAAAGGCAGTGTGCTCTCTGGGAGCTGCTGTTACCTGCCCTTAAGTCGTTGTACAAGCATCAGTCCAGTCCTTACTGTGCATTGAGGGGAAAACAAAGGAAATATAAACGTGCAGCTTGTACCCACTTTTTGATTATCTAGAGTGTGTGCATGAGAATCACGTGCCATGCTCACTGGCAGCCTGGGGTGGGCCCAGGCAGGGGTGAATTCTAAACAAGCCTCCAGGGTCCTTCTGCAGCAGTGGCCCTCAGCATCTGCGAAACCCTGCTGCAAACTTGGGTTCCCCAGGTGCTGTCTAACTCTGTGATGTGCATTAATCTTTATCTCCCATTGGATTGTATGCTCCTTGAGGAGCAAATTTCAAAATAGTAATCCCTTCAAATACCAAGTTTAGGACTGGGTGCAGAGCAGGCCTGTGATTTGGAAACACTAAACAAAAATGGAGTAAAACCAGAGTTTGAGCCTAAGTATAAGACTATATGCCTGACTTTTCTCTTTCTTCCAAAGTCTATGCAAGGGAAAGATCTCCACCATTAACAATCATTGCCAAATAGAAAAGTGATTATTCTGATAAGCATAGTGGAACTTTGAAATCCTCTGAGCAGAGAGTATCACTCAAGAGACATTTAGTCCTCATTCTGATTAAATACTGCTCTTTTCCAGTGTTTCAATGATTGTGCCTGATGGATCCATTTCACCTTCCACAGATTTCCATCCTTCCTTCTATCAATCATGTGGGCACACATAGCACATATGTTCTTAGCTTGTACGTAACATTTTACAATGTACAAATTAGTATCATCTCTAGACAAATGAAATGAAAAAAGAGTACAGTTAATCCCTAAGCACAATTAACCCCCAAAGCATTTCTTTTTGACTTTGCAAGGTGTTTTAGAATTAGAGTGAACAAATTTACCTGAAATTCGAGAAATTCTCATATCATATGAAATAACCAAACTTCCCAAATATGGTTCCTAATCTATTGCCAGGGCAAGCATAAACTATACTTCTTAAGATAATATAAAATGCAGATTACTCAAAACTAGATACTCACTCTAAGCTTGCTGTTCATATTTTCTATGGGACTGAAGGTAGGTGTGGGGTAATTGCTCTGGTTTAAGACAATTTATCTTGCAATTTTTGCTGGATGTGGTTAAAGATAGGTGTTTTGTGTCTAAAGAACTCAAAATCAGTATTCGCTGTGGGTTGAGAATTAACTGTTTTAAGCCTATATAGCAAATCACTGCTAGCCCTGGGTAAGTTCATGTCCCTCATAACCATCACTAGACCTCACTACAGGATAGCTTGCATGTTTGCAATGCAAAGGAAGTTGTTCTTCCAATTGCAGTTACCCACACAAAATAGCTCCTTTCCTTTTGCCCTAAAAGCTTTAATAAAAGTAATCAGGTCAATATTGAACTGTCAATGTCAATACTTCAAGCCACTGTTGTCAGGGGTGGGTGGGTATCATGTGTTACCCTAGAGTGTGCCCAGTGTTGTGCACGTGGAGGATGCTGTAATTTTGTTCTTCCCATGAGAAGGATGTTCACTGCCCCCTCCCTCCAAAGCTCTGCCAAGAATCCTCTTCTTTTGTATCCTCCCCAGCACACTGAACACATCGGTAAAAGATTTACAATAAAATATGTAGAAAGATTAGAAAAGAACATTTAAAAAATCAGGGTAAAATACACATAACATAGAATTTATGATTAAAATGCTTTAAAGTGTACAGTTCAGTGGCATTAAGTACATTTACATTGTTGTGCAAACATCACCACTATCTATCTCCAAAACTTTTCCATCATCCCAAACTGAAACTCTATCCATTGAACAGTAACTCCTCATTTCCCCCTCTTCCCAGCCCCTGGTAACCAATATTCTATTTTCTGTTTCTGTGAATTTGACTATTCTAGATCCCTCATTTAGGTGGGATCATGTAATATTTGTACTTTACTTCATTTAGCATAATGTCTTCAAGATCATCCATGTTATAGCATGCATCAGAATTTCAGTTTTTTTTAAGGCTGAATATACTTCATTGTATGCATACAACACATTTTGTTTATCCATTCATGCATCCATGGGCATTTGGGTTATTTCCACCATTTGACTGTTGTGAATGATGCCACTATGAACACGGCTGTACAAATATCTATTCAAATCTCTGCTTTCAGAGGATCTGAACAGACATTTCTCTGAAGAAGAAATACAGGTCAACAGGCACATGAAAAGATGCTCCACATTGCTAATCATCAGGGAAATGCAAATCAAAACCACAATGAGATATCACCTCACACCAGTCAGAATGGCCACTATCCAAAAGACAAGAAATAACAAGTACTGGTGAGGGTGTGGAGAAATGGGAACCCTCCTACACTGTTAGTGGGAATGTCAATTGGTGCAGCCACTGTGGAAAGAAGTATGGAGAATCCTCTGAAAACTAAAAATAGAAATACCATATGACCCAGTAATTCTACTTCTAGGAATTTCTATTTTTAGTAGAAAAATAAAATCCCTGATCTGAAAAGATATATGCATCCCTATGTTTATTGCATCACTATTTACAATAGCCAAGATATGGAAACAGCCAAGTGCTGAAGATGAATGGATAAAGAAGATGTGGTACATATACACAATGGAATATTATTCAGCCATACAAAGAAAAGAAATCCTGCCATTTGCAACAACATGGATGAATCTAGAGGGTAGTATGTTCAGTGAAATAACCCAGGCAGAGAAAGACAAATACAATGTGATTTCACTTATTTGTGGAATATAAATACAAAGCAAAACAGAATGAACAAAACAGCAGTAGACTCATAGATACCAAGAAGGGACTAGTGGTTACCATGGGGGAGAAGTTAGGGTGGGTGAGGGGGATAAAGGGGCATGAAAATTCTCAATCATAATCTAAGTTGGTCAGTGGGATAATAGTACAGCATGGAAAATACAGCTAATGATTCTGTAACATCTTCCTTTGTTGACAGATAGTAGCTCTACTAGTGGGGGTGAGGATTTAATAATACGGGTAACTGTTGAACCACTGTGTAGTATGTATCTTGAAACTAATATAAGATTGTATACCAATACAAAAAAAATCTCTACTTTCAATTATTTTGGGTATATACTAGACAAGTGCCAGATCACATGATAATTCTATGTTCAATTTCTTGAGGAACTGCCATACTGTTTTCCTTAGCATCTATACCATTTTACATTCCTGCCAGCAATGCACAAAAATTACATTCTATATCCTAATCATTACCTGTGGTTTTCTGCTTTTAAAATAATAGCCATCCTAATAGGTGTGAAGTGGTATCCCACTGTGGTTTTGATTTACATTCCCTAATGACTGCTGTTGTAGAGCATCTTTTCATGGGCTTATTGGCCATCTGCATATCTTCTATGGAAAAATGTCAGTTGAAGCCCTTTGCCCACCTCTTACTGGGGTTGTTGTGTGTTGTTGAGTTAGGAGTTCTTATATAGTTTAGCTATTAATCTCTTATCAATTATATGATTTGCAAATATTTTTTCCCATTCTGTCAATTTCTTTTTCCATCTGCTGATTGTATCCCTTAATGCATGAAAGTTTTAAATTTTGAAAAGTCTTATTTGTCTACTTTTGTTGCCTGTACTTTTAGTGCCACGGCTAAGAAATCATTGCCAAATTCAATGTCATAAATTTTTTTTCCTTATGTTTTCTTCTAAGAGTTTTGTAGTGTTAGCTCTTACATTTAGTCTTTGATTCACTGTGAGTTAATTTTTGTATATGTTGTAAGGTAGATGTCCAACTTTGTGCCTTTGCATGTGGATATCCAGTTATCCCAGCACCATTTATTGAAAAGACTGTCTTTTCTCCATTGAATGGTCTTGGCACACTTGCTGAAATCATTTGACCATATGGGTGAAGGTTTATTTCTGGGCTTTCTATTCTCTTCCGTTGGTCTATATACCAACATTATGCTAGTATAATATTGTTTTGATTACTGCAGCATTTTAGTAAGTTTTGAAATCAGGAAGTGTGAGTCCTCCAACTTTGTTCTTTAAAAATGTTTCACTTTGCGGTCCCTTGAGATTTCATATGTATTTAAGGATTTTTTTTCTAACTTTGCAAAAAATGTCATTGGGGTTTTGATAGGGATTTTATTGAATCTGTATATTACTTTGATCGTATTGAAATCTCAACAATATTAAGCCTTACGTAACAACAACAAAGCGTGTCTTTCCATTTATTTTTGCTTTCTTTAATTTCTTTCAGCAATGTTTTAAAGTTTTCAGTGTACAAGTCTTTTGCCTTATTGGTTAAGCTTAGCAAAAACTTTTAAAAACTTTTTATTAGCAGGAATATAACTCCCATTCCTAAATGCTCCCCACTTCTTAATTGTGACCTGTATATAGTGACTTCATTCCAAAGAGGAAAAGAGGAAAAATGAGTAACTTTACAGTGGAAATACCTGACAAACACTACTTCAGCCAGGTGATTAAGGTGTGATGTTGAACATAAGTAGTATGAATCATGTTGATAGTATGTACCCTTGGTAAAATATGATGAAAATGGCATTTATTCTGTGATTTTCCTCTTTAAAACATCAAATACTAAATAGACAGTCACAAAGATTACATATTACATTTTTCCATTCATATGAAATGTTCAGAACAGGGAAATCTATACCTACAGAAGGTTAATTAGTGTTTGCTTAGGGCTGGAATGGGGGAGGGGAATAGGAGGTAGGAAGTGACAGCTTAAAGGTGGAAGGCTTCTTTCTGAGGTGATAAAAATGTTCAAAAATTGACTGATGATGGTTGTATCTGTGAATACACTAAAAACCACTGAATTGCACACTTTAAATGCGTGAGTTATTCTCAGTAAAGCTATTTTTAAAGAGAGGTATCCTACAAAATACCCGGCCAGGAGTCCTCAACACTGTCAAGCAAGTCTTCAAAACATGGAAAACCTGAGAAACTCTCACAGCCCAGAGTTGCCTAAAGAGACATGACAAGTAAATGTAATGTTGTATCCTGGATGAGATCGTGGAACAGCAAGGACATTAAGGAAAAAAACTAAGTAAATCTGAATAAAATATGGATGTTAGTTAATATAATTTATCAATATTGATTCATTAATTATCACAAATGTATCATACTAAGATAGTATTAGGGAAAACCGGGTACAGGGAGAGGGTCACATGGGAACTCTATGTTATTTGCTCATTTTTCTGTAAATCTAATACTGTTCTAAAAAAATAGTCTATTACTTTTTAAAAGTGTTGATTAAAAAAGGAAAAAGCTCTTACAAACCAAGAATGACTTTCAATTTTGCATATTATCTTTGACTTTTAAGTGATTGTCTCTCAATCATTAAGAAATATCTAGTAATAACAGAAAGGAACTCCCCCCAAAATGGGTATGGAAAGATGCACTTTAAGATTCACCAGGGAAGAAAGAAGAATGAAAACATTTGGAAACTCAGAATTTTAAGGAGTGGAGAAATGAATTTAAGCAATTGTAAAAAGTATCATTAAAAAATATACAGAAAAGTCAACAAAAAAGAAATATTGATAAGTCTGTATTTGAAGTAAGGACGTCTGTTCATCGAAGACTCCATAAAAAGACTGAAAAGAAAAGACACCAACTGGGAAAGTATTGTCATCCCATATAACCAATACAGATTAGATTTAAGAATGAATAATGAATTTTGATAAGTTAATTAGAAGAGACAACTCAAACACCTATGTGGATAAAAGACATAACAGGAATTTTACAGAAAGGGGATACAAATATGGCTAATAAATACATGAAAGCATGCTCAACCTGAATAGTGATCCGGTAAATAAGAGCATAAAGAAATGCTTTTAAATCCATTAGATTGGCAAATGCTTATAAATTCATTAGATTAGAAAAATTTATAATTCTGGAAATTACAAGTATTGGAGGGGGCCAGCAAGAATTCTTATACATTGCTCATGGAACTGTAAATTGGTACAGCTACAATAGAAAACAATTTACATTATCTCTCAAAGCTAAACATTTATAGCCCACATAATTAGCAATCACCTGTACACACCAGAGAAAGTCTTGCACATGTACAAGAAGAAACAAGTACAAGAATGTTCACAGCTATATTCATAATACCAAACAAATGTGACAACAATTAAAAGCCTATAAATAGAATGAATTTATAAAATGTGGCTTAGTCACACAATGGACTATTATACAGCAGTGAAAAAGAATACAGTAGCTATATTCAACAACATGGATAAGACTTGGAAACAATTTTGTTTGAAAAAAGGAAAGCCCTAGAGGAAACAAAAAATAAAATATTCTTTTAGGGTGTTCAAAATCAAACTTAGCAAGATTGAATACTCTGTTGTTTATGCACATGCACATTTTGGATAAAAACTGTATTTCAAAGAAGTAATGAACATCACAATGAGATACCATTAGAATCACTAAAATAGAAAAGATGACAATGCCAAATGTTGGCAAGGGCCACTGAAACTCTCATTTTGCTAGTGGGAGTGTCAAATGAAACAACTGCCTTGGAAAACTGACAGTTTCTTAAACAGTCAAATAACACTTCCACTCTATGACCTAAAAATTCCACTCCTAGGTATTTATAGAAGAAAAATGAAAACATATGTCCATTTAAAAACTTGAATAAGAATGTTCATAGTGGCTTTATACATAATAGATAAACTGGAAATAGCCCAAATGCCCCTTAACTGTGATACAACCATAATAGAATGATACTTAGAAGAGAAAAAGGAGCAAATTACTACTGTAGCAATGAAATGAATGAATCTCACAAACATGTTGAGTTAAAGAAGACAGACACAAAATACTATATGATTCCACTCATATCTATGCTGATAGGAATCAGATCAGTGGTTGCTTCTGGGGGTAGGGATTGATTAGGAAGGGATACACTAGTCAGGAAGGGAATTTTCTGAGGTTTGGTTAGTGTCTTATATTTTGATAAGGGTATGGGTTACATGGATGAAAGTGTTTGTCAAAACTAATCAAATGATAAAATTAATCTATGCATTTCACCATAAGTAAATCATACCTGGTAAAAAAAATTCTTAGGAAAGAATCAGAACTGCCTTTCATACTATTTTCTAACTGGCAGTACATGGGAACTCCTTTAACACATTAAAAGAAAAACACACAAGGTGAATGTGCTTTGTTTGCTAAAATGCCATCTTTTCTGTGATTATAAACTATTCTATTTAAAATGTCTGCTTTGTACCTTTAAGTCATTATGGACACCAAATGAGGGAGAAAAGCCATGAGATGATAAATGAAAAGCAGAATACTTAGCATAGTTGTAACCTGGGGTGGTGGATGGGGAGACTGTGCAATGGAATAGGGAGGAATATACAGGTAGATGTAAGTTGTGGTTTGTTTAGTTTTGTTTTATAAACTCTCAACCCTTCCATCTACTTTTTGACATTTAAAAAATTGAGATATAATCATACATCATAAAACTCACCCCTTTAAAGTATACAATTCAGTGGTTTTTAATATATTCACTGAGTTGTGCAACTATCTCCACTATCTAATTGCAGAACATTTTAATCACCCAAAAAGAAATTCTGTACCCATTAGCAATCACTTCTAGCTTTAGACATTGCTAATCTACTTTAATGTCTCTGCCTATTCTGGACGCTGAATATAAATGAAATCATGTAATATAGGATCTTTTCTGACTGGTTGCTTTCACTTAGCATGTCTCTCAGGTTTATCCATGTTGTGGCATATATCAGTACTTCATTCCTCTTCATGGCTGAATAAGATTCCATTGTATGGATAGGCCACAATGGTTTATCCATCAATTGATGGACATTCGGGTTGTTTTCACTTTGGATTATTATAAATAATGCTGCTATAAATGTTGGTGATGACTTTTCTCCTTGACATTTATTTTCACTTCTCTTGGATATATTTCTCATTTCATTCTCCGAGGTAGGGGAGGAACTGTCATATGGGAACTCTAAAGATTAACTGTTTGAGGAACTACCAGATTATTTTCTGAAGCAGCTACACCATTGTTAATTTCCATAAGCAGTATGGGTTCCAGTTTCTCCACATCATAACCAACATTTGTTATTTTATGTCTTTTAAAAACTTACAGCCATCCTACTTGATGTGAGGTGGTACCTTGTTATATTTTCGTTGTTGGATTGAGTGGTCACTCGATGGCTATTTGTTACAGAATTTTGCTTTTAACCAACACATGTTATATAACTTTTCTGTGCATATTAAATGATATATCTTAAAAAAACCACAAAGCTATGAGATTGAAATAAAAAGTGAGGGGAGAATAAGAGAGAAAGATGCCAAACCACAGTTTGGAATAGTAAGGAGACTGAAAAGAGAAGTTATTTTTTTGTGTCCTGCATAATATTGATGAAACACCAAATGAAAGATGGGAGAGATGAACAGAAGAAGAAAGAAAACATGCATTTAAAGAAGCAAGTTTTTAGTAACCTGATGAAGATTAAAAATGAAATAAGCAAAATATTTTAGTAAACATGTATATATAGTTTCATAATGTAAATAATTCTATGGCATCTGCTCTCAAAATTAGATTTACCTTTATTTGAGATAATCCAACTTCAGTCTTGCCTTCTTTCAAAATTGATTTACCCAGCACTTTTTCAGTAGAATAACAGCCAACATTTCTTTGTTCATCCATCCAAAGATAGGCTTTCCAAAGAATTCAGTTTCAACTGAATATTAAAGAGGGGCACCGTACCTCTCCCACCCTCTACTCCTAGTTCATTAAGCTCACGGAGGGGCTTTCCACTCTTCTCTCGGCCGGGAATCCTCTTCTCCAAGTCGCACGGTCTGCCCTCTGCATTCCAGTCTGCTGAAGTGATGGCCTGAGCATAGCCTGACAACTCCCATTCACACTTACACTCTTTTCTTCCTTGCCCTGCTTTTATTTTTAACATAGAAAAAATGTTTAATCTCTCTATAAATACATGCAAATGAAGCATATAAGGAGAATAGCTTTCAGCTGTCAAATTGCCAATGACAAAAATAATTTCATCTTTGAAAACAAGCTGAGTGGGGTCAGAAGAACAATTTTATAACTATTGGTATACACTGTTCTGGAAAATAATTTAGCAACATGCTTTAAAGTCTTAAAGAATGCACATTTGTTGACCTAGTAATTTCAGTTCTAAGAATCCATTAGACGTTATCAGCAGTGGTCAAGTATTTACACACAGGAATGTTCGCTGCAACAGAAAATTCAATAAACTTTATATAGAATTGAGAGAAATATTTAAAACAAGATTGATTCATATGATGTGAACCCATAAGACTTGAAAATCATACTTCCAATGAGTTTTTAATAAAATGAAAACATACTCATAAACTATCTTAAATTTAAAAAGAATATACAAGTATACATATATATTATATAATTATATATACAAATAACATAAGTATATAATAAAAACAAGAAGGCATATATAAGCCAAAACTGGTGTACCTCAGATTCACCTAGGAATTTAATTAAACCACAAATGCCCTGGTCCTGCCACACCTGCTGAATCAGAACCTCAGGCAGCTGCGAAGCAAGAATATGGACAATTTCAACTACGTTCTTCTCACACCTATCAGTATATGGTTATTTTATCTTTGTCGTCTCTACTGGAATATAAGCCTTAGGTAGAAAGTGTAAGTGGCTTTGCATAGGAGAAGGGGGAGGCTGAGGAAGCCTTGGAAGAGTGAGGACTCTGGGGAGGGAAGTAGGACAGAAAGGTAACCGGCGGCGACACAGACTCGGGTTTGGGGAAGGGGTGCTTGAAAGACATTTTTCACAGGAACCTCCGGGCACTATCCTATGTAAGCCACTCCTACCTCTTTCCACTGGTTAATCGCCAATATGATATTACTAATTTCCCCTTAATGAATAGATACAACAGGATTATGGAAGGTGAGTGGGAAGAAATGCCAAGTCCTGCTTTAGGAGGACGGGGGAAGGTGGGGGATGGAGGCTGCCGGTGGGCCAACAGTCAGCGTCATATGTACTCACCTGGAGAAGCGTATTTTTTGTGGTAAATCTCATAGGCTTTTCTGTGGGCATCAGTGAGGGTCTGGAGACGAGAAGATCTTGATTCCTGGTGAGGAAGCTCTGCTATCACCTTCTCCAAATCACTAAAAGTGAACCAGACCTCAACTAGGTCGCCAAAGGAGTGGAAGGCGAATGCGGCATAGTCAGCAAAGAGTTTAGCAAAGCCTGCACTTCTCTGAATGGTGTGGGCAGGGAGGGCCTGGTGGTGCAGGACGACCAGGGGCTGAAGGTGGGCGGTCCTGAGTGCCTCCAGGAGCCGCCGGTAGCACTGCACGGTTCTCCTGTTGGGGTTCTTGGAGCTTCCTGCTGGGAGAAGCCGGGCCCATGGCAGAAATACTTTGTAATGAGTGACCTTACTGGCACGAACACTGCTGAAGTAATCCTGCAGGAAAGCAGGCAGTGGCTGGCGACAAACATAAATGTCTTTTTCCTCTGCTACGATGTTAGAACTCTTGCTTCCCAGTGGATCGTTCAGGTTGTGCAGCAAATCACTGGTTAGAGGACCAGCAGCTGAAATGAAATTTCGGTCAGATTCCCAGTCTAACCCCCAGCACGAAAAACTTAGGAGGACAATAAAGACTGAATTCCAAACCAGCTCCATTTTCAAGGAACTGTTAGGAGGCATGTGGAATTCTTACTTTATAACTAGAGATGAGGCTATAAAATACTAAATGATTAATAGTACTTAATATTTAACTGGGTTATCTGTGATAATGAAATCAGTATGTGGTTCACCAATGTAATATCAAAAAATTGAAAGACTGTAAGAGATAACAGAAATCTCAAACATCTCACACAATTTCAGCAGAGGAACGTGGAAAATGTCTGAAGAAAAAATTCTCCAAATTTTTGTCTCACAAATTATTTTAAAATTTGTTTACACAACAGAACAAAAGTGAGTCCCTTGCCAAACGTTTCCCCTTTAAAAATATGTACATAAATGAGGAATACATTTTGTGGAAGATTCAATCAATATAGAGACACACGAAAAACTTGCAAATCCCCTTTCCCCCATACATGCTCCATTCCTAGGGTAAGCACATTGAACACTGCTTCCTTCTAGGTTTCTCTGTGTAGCTTCATGCTTATTCGGGAGTCAGAATGCCTGGATTTAAGTCTCATCTGGTGGAAGTTACTTAATTTCTCTGTGCCTCTGTTTCCTCATCTGTAGATTGGGGACAGACAGGTTCTGAGAATTAAAGGAAGTCATTCTTTAGCATGTTTAGAATAATGCAACTCAATAACAGCTATCATTAAGTACATACAAAGGTGAACATGTAAGTGTGTATTTTAAATATATAATATATATGGAATTATGACTTATGTATTATGCCTCAGATTCCTTTTTTTCACCTAATAGCTCTTGGAGATCAGTCTTTATCAGAATATACAGACCCACCTCTTTTTAAACAGATGCATAGCATTCTACAGTAGGAATATATGGTAACCCTTGCATATTAAAGAAGTTATTCTTGATTTTAGTGTGTTGCAAATGAATATTTATATCTCTATACATCTCTGTCCACACACATGACAATTTCTTTAAGATGGATTCTTAGAAATTAAGTTGTTGACTCAATTGGCATTACCATTTAGAATTTTGACTTAAATCCAAATAGTCTTCCAAAATAGGCTTCTTCAAATTTAAATCCTACCTATAGAAGTGAGCCTGTTAGCTTTGCTAACACACCTGTCATAAAACTTCACATTTTTGACTCTTTGGAAAATGTAAATATTATATCCTTGGACACTTCTCATTTTTCTGCTTAGAGGGGTAGCTCTTCACATTAACTGGATGCTTGTTTTTCTTCTGAGATTTATGTTCATATTTTTTGTACATTTTAAACTTATTAACCTATTATACCTTATTACTGATATAAATGCTCAGTAGTGGATACCTCAGTTTGGATATCATGTATCAATACATGACAGAAAAAAAATTTTCCTCATCTTTTAATTTGGTTTGTGGTGTCTTTCAAGGTACATTACCTGGTACCATGGTTTTAAAATCTCATGTCAAACCTATTATTTCCTTATTCTTGTTTTTAGTGTTTATATCTTTAGGCTGTCTTGAATTTGAGTAGCAGGTCTTGTCAATTTCTAATGTGTTATTGAATTGGCCATTCTTCCCCTACTATTTGAAATGCTACCTTATCAAAACTAGTATCTATATAGATGTAGGTATTTCTGGACTTTCTACTGCTTGACTATTCCTGTGCAATACCACATAATTTTAATTTCTATACCTGTATAGTATTTTTCACCTTATGATAGGGCATGGCTTCCCCTATCATTTTTTTTCTTATAATTTCTTGGCTATATATATATATACTTTTAAAAATAGAAATAGTTTAATTTCATTTACTGGAATTTTCAAGATTGTCCAGACAGCTTCAGTCAATATATCATTTCAAATTTCAATATTTATAATCATAGTGATCTCTTTAAAATGGTATATTTTAATTGTAGAAATACATTTTAATTATAGAAATATTAAATGCATTCTTATATTAAAAAATTCTGATATAGTTCCATTTGCCTTATACCTAAGTCCAGCTACTACCTAAATATCTACCATTATTAGTTTATTTTTCTATATATTACATGTATGTGTACATAAAGACTGTATAGTTTTGTGTAGCTAGCTATAAAATAAATGCTACTATACTGTGAGTACTGATCTACAAGTGGCATTTTTACCTTATAGTACACCTTGGAGATCCTTCCACATTATGTAAATATTAATATATCACATTCTTTTCAAAAGCTGCATTGTGCATTGTATGACCTTACATAATCATTCTTTGCTGATTGGGTTTTAGGTAGTTTTCCATTTTCAGTGTTACAATGTCACAGTGAATGTCATTGTATATGCCTTTTTCTCTACACATATAGGTTAAGTATTTCTTAACCTTAAGGAAGTTGTTGAAGAGTACAACTGCTAGATGATAGGGTAGTCATAGTTTAACTTCTAATGGTACTGACCAATTTTTCCCTAAGAAATACCCCCATTTACACTCCTACTGTAATAGAGGAAAATGGAATGAAGTCTCTGGTTTTAAAATGTAACACTAATATCAACTTGAAAATGAACTCAAGTAGCCCCCAAAACGTTGTAACTATTAACGGGTGGCAGTTTCTTTTTGTTCTCTCTCTTTTCTGAGTCTCAGGGTCAGAGATAACACAGAAAGCTGATTTTGCAGAATCCAAGCCATTCTGTCCCAGGGTGCTGAGGGGGAACGAGAGGGGAAACAGAGAGCAATTGAATTGGTGCAATAAATGTCTGCTTAGATCATTGCAAGTTGCTACTTTTTGTGTCTGTGAGCACCACACTCTCCCCAACAATTTCCCCTAAAAGCCCTAAAGCTTGTGCTTCAGGGGGACAATGGTTCTTTAAGGCATGAGCCTACCACTCTCTCATTAGCTGGTAAATTAATAAACTATTTCTTTTTCTCTAACCTTGTCATTGTGTTTTGTAATTTGACTTTGGTAACAAGGACTGGTTTTCACTAACTCTACCAATAGTGTATGACAATATCAAATTTCCCATAAACCTAACAATGCCTAATAGTACAAAATTAAAGTGTTTTTATAATTTTCAATGATTTTAAATTGATTTATATGAGTACTGCATCTATTTTGGGAAATAATCTTTTTACCATTATGTAATGGAGATACATACACACACACAAATTCAACATATTTTTATTGAAAGTATAGTCTTCTCATCTGTAGCTTATCTATTCTGGATATTAATCTTTTCTCTGTTACATAGGTTGACAACACAGTTTCTCAATCTGTAGCTTTGTTTTCTAATTTTTAAAGTTTAAAATTTTGGTAGTCAAATATATGAATTTTTTTCTTTATGGCTTTTGTGTCTTATATGTTGTTTTAAAAAGCCTCTTCTATCCCAAAGTGACAGACATAGTTTCATCTTTTTAATTATTTTGGGGATATAATTGGTATTTAACATTACATTAGTTTCAGGTGTACAACAATTTTATATGTGTATATGTTGTGAAATGAGCACAATAAACCCATAGGTAACAGCTATCACCACATGTAGTCATATTTTTTTTCTTCTGGTGAGAACTCAGCTCTCTTAACAACCCTTAAATATATAATACATTATTACTAGCTATTGTCACCATGCTGTACATTATGTCCACATTTCTTAATTATTTTATAACTGAAGTTTGTACCTTTTGAAAACCTTCACCCATTTCATCCACCCCTCTGGCAACCACCAATCTGTTTTCTGTGTCAAGAGTTTGGTTTTGTTTCTAGATTCCCCATACAGATGATCATACAGTATTTATCTTTCTGACCTTTTTTAGCATAATGCCCTCAAGGTCCATCCATGTTGTCATAAACAGCAAAGTTTCCTTCTTTCTTATGGCTTAATAATATTCCATTGTATAGTTTATCCATTTATCCATCAATGGACACATGTTGTTTCCATGGCTTGGCTATTGTAAATAATGTCACAACAAGCATAGGGGTGTATGAATCTTTTTGAGTTAGTGTTTTCATTTTCTTCAGATAAATACCCAGAAGTGGAATTGCTGGTTCATATGGTAGTTCTATTTTTACTTTTTGAGTAATTTCAATACTGCTTTCTATAGTGCCTGCACCAATTTACATTCTCTCCAACAGTGTACAGTTCCCGTTGCTCCACATTCTCACGAATGATTATTATTTCTTTTTTTTTTTGATAATAACCATTTTAACAGATACAAGGTGGTATCTTGTGGTTTTGTTTTGCACTTCCCTGATAGTGATGTTGAGCACCTTCTCATGTATCTGTTGGCCATCTGTATATATCCTTTGGGAAAATATCCATGAAGATCCTCTGCCTATTTTATTTTGTTTATTTTTTTTATTTTGGTATCATAAATCTACAATTACATGAGGAACATTATGTTTACTAGACTCCCCCCTTTACCAAGTCCCCCCCACGTACCCCATTAGTCACTGTCCATCAGTGTGGTAAGATGCTGTAGAATCACTACTTGTCTTCTCTGTGTTTCACAGCCCTCCCTGTGTCCCCCCACCACATGCTAAACATAATGCCCCCTTTCTTCTTCCCCCCACTTCTCCCTCCCTTCCCACACATACTCCCCAGTCCCTTTCCCTTTGGTGACTTAGTCCATTCTAGGGCTCTGTGATTCTGCTGCTATTTTGTTCCGTCAGTTTTTCCTTTGTTCTTATACTCCACATATGAGTGAAATCATTTGGTACTTGTCTTTCTCCACCTGGCTTATTTCACTGAGCATAATACCCTCTAGCTCCATCCATGTTGTTGCAAAGGGTAAGATTTGTTTTCTTCCTATGGCCGAATAATATTCCACTGTGTATATGTACCACATCTTCTTTATCCATTCATCTACTGTTGGACACTTAGGTTGCTTCCATTTCTTGGCTATTGTAAATAGTGCTGTGATAAACATAGGGGTGCATATGTCTTCTTCAAACTGGGCTGCTGGTTTTTAGGGTAAATTCCTATGTAGGAGGGTTCCCCTTTCTCAACAACCTCCCCAACATTTGTTGTTGTTTGTCTTTTGGATGGTGGTGATCCTAACTGGTGTGAGGTGATATCTCATTGTGGTTTTAATTTGCATTCCT